GTGCGTACGAGTCCGTACTGTCACGTGCCAGACACGTTCTTCTAACTTTGACTCGTACGTACAACCATATAGTTAAAAAGCGACAGTAGCCTAGTGGCAGGGGGACCGCGAATTTAAAGGTCGCGGGTTCGAATCCACCATTCGACTACTGTCGGGAACACTCCTAACACAAGCATTTTCAGCTTACCAGGAGTGGTTAAAGGTTGTAATTATAGGTACTAATATTAAAAAAATATGCTTATGTAATTGTTCCTCCAGGTTATTAATTTAATAACACTTACCAATTGCATTGTTAAATCGATGTAGCTTCTTGGCCCTTAGATGTGATTAAATACTGAGGTCAAACGTTGCGCTATAGACAAGTGGTATACCGTAGGCGGCGACATGTTGACCCAGTGACTAATTCGTTGGTGACCTCTTGTTTACTGGCGCGAGCGTTTTCCGAATGTTTACATTTGTGACAGGGCTCAATAGAAAAGTTATTCAAGGTAGAGCCATGCGGCAGCTATGTAATGGTTGTAGCATGAATGGGTCGACTTGACCGGGGAAAGACTACGTTCTTACAGAATACCAGCGTAAAATAACAGCTTCATGCTGCTGTGTTTCGTATGGTGAGTGTCTCTATACTCTTTAACCGGATACTCTTTTTACAATGCCATCCAGTCCTCAGGGGTGATAACGCATCTGCATTTAGATGTTTATGAGCCACAGCATCCACTTCCTATCAGGTTGATTGTGTGCTCGTTTGCCACCCTTAAACTATAAAAAAATCCGTTGCCTCCATTTCTTTTCGTAGTTTTCGTTAGAAGCGACAGAGTGGGATGTGTCAGAATGTTTGACTACGAATATATTATGGCAGTATAACAATTAAGATTCTACATGGTGGCGGCGATGGAGGGCAACGTCAAAAGTACCAAAACGTCTGACATCGTGATCCTCAATCCGTCGGCTAAACGAGAGACGCCCAAGATGACCTTTTGACTTTTCTCGATGTCGATTCTCAGATAAAAGCCAGTATTGGTGGTGTTGGATGTAAATGTATTGTAATTCCTCTAGTTTCTCTGCCGCTTTAACTCAGTGTTTCGGATCCAATTGAAAATGAAAATGAAAATGAAAAATGATTTATTGATTTACAATGATACATTTTAAACCAGTCGCAAGGGCCCCTGTACTAGGTTGGGAACCTGTATTACTGGGTACCCCGCTCATCCACCAAGACAATACTATGTTAATCAATTAATAACAAAAAGCAAGGCAAGATCTAGCATTAGAATGTAAATGAAATTTGGAATATAATAATAATTACATGATAAGCATGCATGCTAAGCATGCACGCGTTTGTGTGTGTGTGTGTGTGTGTGTGTGTGTGTGTGTGTGTGTGTATGCGCGTATATGTGTGTGTGTGTGTGAGTGTGTGTGTTTTGTGGTTGTGTGGTAGTGCTTTAACAATTGGTGTGGCTGTTCGAAGTATAAAAGTTATGTAATAAATTGTTCAGTTTCTTCGTAGTTTAGTGTTAATAAAAATTGAGTCACTACACGTTTAACTTTAGTCCACGTCAAGGGGTAAATATTCAATCTGCTGTTGAATTTGTTGTAAATAGATATAGATTGGAATACGTATTGCTTTTGTTTAAACTTTGTTTTATTTTGTGGTATATTGCAAATTTTGGCACTCCTACGTTTTGGTGTCTGATGAGGTATGAAAGGTAAATGTCGATGCTTTTTTTAAAATACAATTCAATATATACATCTGGCGAGTAGTAAGCAATTTGTAAGATTTATGTAGTTCAGAAGTTGAAAATCGAAACGGTTTCAAGAACATCACTTTAATTAGAGCTCTTTGAGCTCTTTCTAGTCTTATTAGATGAGTTTTAGCTGCACCACCCCAAACAGGTATGCAATAACTCATTACCGATTGCGCTGGAGCTTTGTAGGTGGTTATAAGAGTTGTTTCATTTGCAACACACCTGAGTTTTTTAAATACCCATGTTAGTTTCCTTATCCTGTCAGCAATGTTTTCAATGTGTTGACTCCAGGTAAGGTGCTGATCAATAGTTACACCGAGATATTTGATGGTACTAGTCCTAGTGATTTTATCACATGAGCAATTATTATAGCTATCTAAATATGGCTTATGGCAGGTATGAACTGTTAGGTTAAATTTAGAATTTAGAATTGTCTAGACGTTATGTCTTTTATGGGCAAGTGCTTCAGTGTTTATGCTTAAAAAGTAGCGAAAAGCCCCGTAAATGTCCCTGAGATGATTTGTAGTAATTGTTGCCTTATGCGAATAGGCGAATGCAGTAGTACCGATTTCTTTAAATTTTAGTTTAAAAACCAGCTCACAGTCAACGTAAACCGCACCTGCAGCCTATGGACACTGCATCCTAAAGCATGAGCCATCAAACATAGAAGATCACAGATGAGTTGTCACCACTAAAGACCAAGACCGAATGTCTTGTTACCAGTAAAACGGTCTCCCGTTGTCGTTACTGATCATACGAAAAATAGCAGCATTATTCGGCTTTCCTCGGTCTAGCCAACCAATTTGTGTTACAGCCATAAAACGTTGCGATTATCAGGCACGCTGCGGCTATATTATGGTTGCAGCATGGATGGGTCGGCTCGACTGGGGAAGAACCACGCTCTCGCAGAATACCAGTGTAAAATAGTAGCTTAATACTGCTGTGTTTCGTATGGTGAGTGTAAAGATTCGGAGACACTTTTTTACTGGAAACGAGGCATTCCATCTTAGTTCTCAGGGGTGACAACGCATCAGCATTTTGATTCTTAATCGAGGATAAATGTGAATGTCTATGGACCGCAACATCCGTTTACCATCAGGTGGACTGTGTGCTCGTTTGTCACCCTTATTTTTTTTGAAAAATCCACCATATTTAAAATTGTGTTGTAATTTACTAAAACATTAATGTCATAATAAAAAAATGGTATCATAATTGGTAATAATAGTGGTATTGAAGCTTTGGGTATATCCAGAAGCGGCATGAAACAGGTTCATGAGGATGTTGATAGATCTTGCGTTATATAAGAACGGAGCGTGGATAAATACGGGCAATTAGAGATTGCTTTTGCATGGTTTTACGACCTTGATTGTAATACGTACTTAATTAAGTTAAAATCGTGAGAAGCCAACAACGATATAGCTAATTAATTTAACGAAACCAGTTATGGCGTTTTATGCCTTATTCGACGTTTGGGCCGGCCAATTAAGGCTCACCACTTCGGGCGATATTGATATTTTACATCTGGCGTAAATGAGATAGTTATATCGCCATCTATAGGAAATCATGAGTTTTGTGGTAAACCACAGGTTAGGCTATTGTTGTATCTTAGGATATCCACGGAACGAAATGGAAAATGTATCCTTACGCCTTCACTACATGGTTACTTTTGTAGAACACAATACTCCTATAGTTCATCTGCATTTAGATTTTTCATCAAAATGCAGACGCGATGGCACCCTTGAGGTTGAGTTTGAATTGGGGTTGCCAACCATACTATAATATATAGTATCGTACTCTAGAAATACTTAATTAATACTATATTATAGTACGAAGATTCTATATTTTTATCCCTTATTTGACTGTCGCGTTTGTTTATATTAACTGTGATTGGAGGTGTAGAACAAGTAAGTTTTACGGAAATATTTTTTTCCGTCATTAATGTAAAATTGAAAGAAGAAAGAAAAAGAGCATGTATTAATTGAATTAAAAATTTATTGTTAATTTATTATAATACGAATCTAAATTTCTCAGACTCTTTATTTTAAAGGTAAGGTAGAAGAAAAGGTGGTTAAATCAGTGATGGCTAAAGCAAAGATCAATAACAAATATAAATGGAAAAATATATGTATTTGATTGTACTTTTTTGTCTCCTGAATTTCACAAAAGTATCTACTATATTTGTTACAAAAAAAAGGTGGCAACCCTAGTTGTAATGCCTCGTTCCCAGTAAGTATAAAGGGTCTCCAGTGCTAATTACTTACCACTATTGTTTTGCGCGAACGCGATCTTTTCGTGTGCAGTCAATTTCTTCGTATTACACTGAGGCTCTTCTTACACGTAAATCACTTATGAATGATAAGATGAATTTGTATATTATGAATTAAGGTACTTTGACATTGTTGCAAATTAAATTAAACAAATTTTTTCGGATTTTATCGCGTTTTTCACTAATAAGGCGTTTGACTTGCCGCCGTCATATTTATGCCAGCAACCATCAGTTTTCGAATATTAATTTTTGTTTAGAATGAGCTTACAGTATCTTTAGGTCTTGCAGTGATATGCTGGGGCCCCCGTGATCAATGAATGTTGTCAAAACACCCAAAACGTCGGAAGTAAAAACGTTAATATTGAACGCAACAAAATTTGTATTATATATATAAGAAATCATTACTGTTGCAAAGGCGCTAGATAATCACGTTTTTATAGAATACTAGCGATCTGCCCCGGCTTCACACGGGTGATATCTGGATTTCTACAACAGGTCCACCTACCGGGTCCAATTATGCCTTCTTTCTAAATAAATAAAATGGTAGATAATGAAACGGAAAAACTAATGGATAGATTTCAACTTGGTTTTCTTACTTTTTTTTCTGAGAAACTTGTACCTAATCTTAAAAAAATATTGCGATATCTTTATATATTATAAAGTTATTTAACTTTTAAGAACAACGATTTTTATAAACTATACGTGTTCAGTGATCTGCGTTTTATTTGTTAATGTATTAAGCAACGCGAACGAAGTCGCGGGTATCAACTAGTATTAGATAAGTCTTGTGCTCGTGCGAGTGAAAGTGAAGCCATCAAAATCACTAATAGTTAAATTAACCTCTATATTGAAGCCGGTTTGTGCTAAGAATTGGTTTGTAGTTAGTGTTTTAATCAGAGTTTAAGCCTACGTTTTAAGCCCCGCGTTTTATACAATAAACTAGTCCCTGTCGCTCGACCATGTTTTCCAACAAGTGCCTATACTTTCAGCCAGGCCAGGCCCTGGAGAAGGATATGGAGAGCCGAACAATGCCCACACCGAACGTGAAGTTCGGTTGGATCAAGGGCGTGCTGATGCGTTGCCTGCTTAACATATGGGGTGTGATGCTGTTTTTGCGGCTCTCGTGGGTCGTGGGGCAGGCTGGTGTTGGTGAGTAATTTCTAAATATACTAAATCTAGAAAACAGAAGTAATTTCGTAAACATCTCGCAAATCATCTGCGCTCACGTGCCCTCCTTCGTCTTTTACAAATAATCATACAAGCACTTTATATTACCGAACTTTACAACACTTTCTCTTTTAATTCGGTGATTTGGACCTACTAATGGCAAATTTCCATTGGTTAGGGATATTTCATTTTTCCTCAAAGGTTGACGGACCTTAACTGCATATGTTTATTTACGAAGAGGCATTAGTGACTGGTAACATGGGTACGTATTAACCGATTGTTATCGATGTAACAATGTCCACACTACCCCAAATGGTCCGTAGGTGTTGCAAAAGTCGACAGAAAGAAACAGGAGTAGTTCAGCAGCATATTCCTCAAAACTGTACTCAAAATTATTAAAAAAAAACTATATTTATCAACCCGTTTGTCAAGCGTGGCAACTTCGGCATTATGTCAGCAATTAGTGAATGGATGAATGGATAGATTAATTGACATCGTCGTTAGTTCCTGATAGATATGGTGCCGACCTTATCAGATTAGCTAATGAAGGATCTTCAGGCGCTTCAGGGACGTGTTTTGTCCAAAATCACACTGCGTGGTAAGTGGTGGGTGATAAAGCCGTCGTATTTAAAAAAAAACCTATTGACGTTTGCTTTGAATCCCTCCACTCTTTTGCTGTAGGCATCATATTATACATTACAACAGTGGGCTTGTGATGGCCAATAATATTACTTTACTTATATTTCAAACGTTATTATTATTATTTAATGCATTAATTTTTATCCGGCAATAAATTTTTTATTTGTAATATGAGCGCCTTGCGAGTTTTTAATTAATTAAGAGAAAATCAATATGTGATTTTAATCGTTTCCAGTTCAAGCGATCCTACTTATTCTGACGACTTCGGTTGTTACCACCATCACGGCACTTTCCATGTCTGCCATCAGCACTAATGGTGTCATAAAAGGGGGTAAGTTTTTCTTAAGGTGTTGTGGACTTTGTCTACGTTAATTAATTTTATTCTACGTGTTGTCTCCGCATAAATATAAGAAATTATTAAGTGAAAAACTGTTCTCGTCATAACCATGACATTAAGATTTAATAGACCACAAATACTTGCAAAAAACACCGATTACTAAAATAATAGACATTTCAAAAGAGGACGATGCCTGTTTGCTACCATTATTTTTTATAGGACGACGGTGATAAATGGGCACACAGTCCACCTGATTGTAAGTGGGTGCTGTGACCTATCGACATCTACATCTATACTCTATTAAGAATTAAAATACAGATGCGATGTCACCCGTGAATACTAGATGGAATGCCTGGTTTCCAGTAAAAAGGGTCTCCGGTTCTCTACACTCACCATACGAAATACAAAAGCGTTGAGCTCCTATTGGACGCTGGTACTCTATGACAACGTGGTCCTTCTCCGTTCGAGCCGACTCATTTGCGCTACAAATATACTTCTAATGTATCTGGAGCATGGCTTTAAAATGCAATAAAAGTTAGTGTAAATACAACACGTAACATAATTAACGCACTTTGAGAAAGTAGTTTGTTCAGAATCGTTTACTGAATCCATTCCTATCATTTTTAATATAGGTAATTTTTTTATCCCAAAAATAATTAAAACTAGGTAAATTACAGTCACACTAAATCTGTACAGTCAAAACAAACTAAAATGGACCGTAACTTAAGGCAATAAGACTTTTAAGAGTGCAGTTTTATTTGTATTATTACTAATTCTGTCATTCAATAAAAATAAAGAAAAATGAACTTTATTTCAAGCATGTTAAAGTCTTTCCGTTCGTGGATTTGTACTGTGACCACAACATTCTTCCGGAATTAGTATAACTAATTTGATAAATAATCAGTGCATAAAAATGTTTAACTAAAAATTCAGCGTATCTATTATGATTATAACATAATATACTAATTGGGGTGTCTGAGGGTGTGCGTTAATTACGTTACATATTGTATACACCCTGCCGGTGCTTTTTGGAACCTGCCTTGCCTGAACCGCATTGTAATTGTACTTTCTCCTTTACTTCAACCCGAACCACAGCAAAAGGATGGTCATCACCCAGATAGATTCCTAGAGAGAAAGAAAGGATGGTCATCACCCAGATAGATTCCTAGAGAGAAAGTATTCATCTACAGAAGCTATATAACAGTAGTCTTCTTATTTGCCATAGTTTTCCATATTTTTAGTGGTAGCGTCATGCTACAGTTATATAAGTAGTATAGTTGTAGCACGAATGGGTCGGCTCGACCGGGGAAAGTAAAATAGCTTAACGCTGCTGTGTTATGGTCAGTGTAAAGAACCGGAGACCCTTTTTACAGGAAATGAGGCATTCCATACTAGCCCTCACGGGTGACAACGAATCTGCATTTTGATTCTTAATCGAGGATAGATGTAGATATCTATGGGCCACAGCAACCACTTATCACCAGGTGGACTGTGCGCTCGTTTATCACCCTTATCCTATTAAAAAAATAATAAATCTAAATTCTTAATTAATAAATTCGTATGTTTGTCCAGGTGGCACATACTATATGATATCCCGGTCTCTCGGCCCCGAATTTGGCGGCTCCATCGGGCTGATCTTTGCGATGGCCAACGCCGTGGCGTGCGCCATGTACGTGGTGGGCTTTGGGGAATCTCTCATTACGCTAATACCAGAGTCCGCTTATATGGTTAGCAAGAGCTGGGTGAGTTTACCAAGTTTTTATTAAGTCACTTTCTTGTCTGTCTGCCTCTGTCCGTCGTTCCGGGTGGAATCTTGCAACGCAAGCAGTAAATATGCAACGTAAAATGGAAATTAAGAAATGACAATGAATGTCAAATTTCGCAGAGATTGTAGCGCCGCGGCTAAGGGACTGCTGTCTTAAAAATAGTTTTCTTAAGTCACAGTGCAAGGCCACACGAGTAAAAAAACGGAACAGGGGCAAAGCGTCTAAGGAGCGTTCAAAATTTTCAACTATTTTGGTGGATTGACACAGGATATCCTCCTGTATATTAAATAAACAAAAAATTTTGTCAGTTTTTTATTTATTATGTATCTATGATAAAACATTTTGTTATAAACTACTTACTCCAAATATTTTATTTTTATATTTTATGTAGTGTCTTTTTGTTGAATGGTACATTTTATATGTTATATAAAGTTTCCTTTTTAAATAATCTAATAGAATAAAGCTGAAACTTTCAATAAACTACATTTAGAAGGAAAATATCTCTTGATGTGTTGTGATTTAATTTGTTAAAACAACATACTATTTTCTATTTAGAAAATCGAAAACAATATGTGCACCTTTGTTTTCAGGACCAAGCAATTTACGGTTGTATAACGATAGTGCTCCTGACCGGTATTGTAATGGTAGGAATGGAATGGGAAGCTAAAGCTCAAATAGTTTTGTTGATAATTCTCTTGGCGGCCATTGCAGACTTCCTCGTCGGATCGTTTATTGGTCCAAAGAGCGACCTGGAAGTCGCGCAAGGCTTCATTGGCTATAACTGTGAGTTATTATCGCATTTAATTACATATTAACTTTAGATACTTATACTTTACTGAGTCATTGATAGCTCAGATGGTTAGCGTTCGCTGTAAGGTCATATTACGCGAGCAACCCAGGTTCGATCCCCGCTGGCACCAATGAAATTGTTAATTGCAATTATAAGTGTTGATTTACCACGTGATAGGCGGTGAAGGAAAACATCATGAGGAAACCTGTGTCTCTGAGAAATAAAAAACTTTTTTCGAAGACATGTGAAGATTGCCAACACGCATTTTTAAAAACCTTCTCAGAAATGAAAGGAGGCCTGTGCCCAGCAGTAGGACGTATAGCCTTTAACTGCTTTTTAACTTTTACTGAAATCACCACGTTTGGCGATTGCACCTCGGGATATTTAAAATTTAAGTTCTTGTTCTTTGTTTCCCCCATGATGTATGGACGTGATTGACAGCCGATTTTTATACTACCCACGGGAAGAAAAGACGGTGGTTTTTTAATATATAAGATATATATTAAAAAACTACCCTCTATACACGATCACAAGAAATTGTCATTTTTATATATTTAATGAGTAAGCATTAATTTCCAAATTGCGTTTTCAGTAACGGTGCTTCAAAAAAATATGGCGTCCGACTACAGATACTTCGAAGGAGTTGAGCACAATTTCTTCTCGGTTTTCTCAATATTCTTCCCTGCAGCCACTGGAATATTGGCTGGAGCCAATATATCCGGTGATCTTAAGGTTGGTAATTCTACTCAGAATAATTCGTATTCTCTTTCTCTCTTATATCATATTTTAAAAAACAATATTTTAGTTTTATTTTAAGTCTCAAAAAACTTTGTCTTAGAAAACAGCGGATTTATAAGTTTTGAGTAATGTAGTATTTTGACTAATGTAATTTCGATGATGCTCGACATTAAACTAGGTTAAAGAATTCTGTGACAATCTTTATCAGAACGGGCAACTGTACTATTTTGTGACAGTATTTTATGCCGGCACACCGCCTGCAACTTTACAAGGCGCAGTTTCGGCCGCACATGGAATACCTACTTCTACTACGTTCCCATCTCTGGGCTGGATCCCTCCAATGCTAGCTCTTTGCACTTGACCGCATCCAGCGCAGAGCGGCTCGAGTCGTCGACGACCGAGTGCTTTCCGTTCGGCTCGATTCACTGGCGCTGCGAAGGGATGTTGTATTCCTTTGAATTTTTTTTCTCATCTACCACGGAGAGTGCTCTGAGGAATTCTTCCGATTAATCCCAGTCGCCAAATTTCGTGAACGCACATCGCGGCTAAACTCCCAATACCAAAAACAAAACTTCCACCACTACGTTGCTCTAGGAGTTTTCTTCTGCGTACGACCTTTTTGTGGAGTAGTTTACCACCGGCGATTTTTCCGGACCGATACGACTTAGGGAAGAAAAGAGCTTACTCCTTTCGAATAGGCCGGCAATGCACCTGCGAATTACCCTGGTGTTGCAGTTGTTTATTGGCGGCGGTAGTCACTTAGCTGACCATCAGGTAAGCCGTACACTCGTTTGCCTCTCTTATATAAAAAATTCAATAAAAATTAAATTATTTCCGCGCGGTTTATACAGGCTGTTAGTGTAAACACCGTTGTCGTTGAAATCAGTTGTTTGGTTTCACTTATAGAACGTAAATTCAATGAAAAATAACATTTTTTTTTAGTAAAATCTCAATTTTTCCTTAATTCCTCAATTTTGGCCTGTCTTAAGCCAGGATGAAAGTATGAAGGAAAAGTTACATCACAGATTATGTGTACCTATTGTGTTTTTATGTTGAATGCTGTGTAGGTAGCTAGCGCGGGCGGTGATCTTTACAGTGATTACGTGACTCGGGCGCATAGGGTATTCATGAATTTACGGACGGTGTCGGACAGAAACTTCAAATTTTATGAAAGAAAATAGCTTTTTTTTAATCGTTGAATTTACGTTCTATAAGAAAAACCAAACCACTGGTTTCAAGGACAACGGTGTTTACACTAACAACCTGTATAAACATTAGCAACAGCCTTTTGAATAGTTGCAAACAATTGTGCAATAAAGTATTTTAAATTATACACAATTTTTTAATTTTTTATAACGTATAAGGAGATCCAAATATTTTTAAAAATTATAACGTATTATAAAAATGTTCTGGTAATTTGTCAAGATCATTATCAAGCTGTTAAGGAATTGCAGAAGAATGAAAGCATGATGTTATATCATTTACAGATATTATAAATAGGACTCAAAAGGGATCCTTGTGGAACTCCTGAGAGTATACATATTGTAGAATTTAAATAACTATTGACTACTAGCCATTTAAAAAATTTCTGTAGCTGAGTAATTCGCTCAATACAGTAAAATGGCTTGCTATAGACTTCGTAGGTTTATTTAATATGTACAGACATTAAATCAACCTGCGAAACCTAAAGGCGGTATACAGAAGCATTTAATGTACTTAAACTCAAAAAATCCACAATGTCAAAATTTGAGACTAGACTATAAAGTTTTAGTTTAAGCTCGACATTGTCTCTGAATATCGATTAAGATACGTGATGTGATTAATTATACTCACTAAAAAGTAAGAGGTATGGAGTGTAGCCGGAATAAACAACTAACTAACAGCTTAAAGGTTCTATATTTGACACCACAAAGAGTCTCACATAAAGAAGTAGAAGGCGATAGATAAAGTCACAATATATAGAAGATAAGAGCAGAAATTACAGCAGTCGAATTACATTGGCACTTCAGTTTCGTATACCTTGCCCCGCGGGAGATCTCCCTTTTCCTTTACGGCCACAGAGGTAACAAACTACTTTAAGGAAAATATAGGTTATCAATGACAATTTTATTTTAAATTTCAAGTTGTAACACTTTTGATATTTAAACTTTCCAAATTATTGATTTCTTTGCGAATCTCTCGCAAATTTTATCGGTTGTAAAGCGTGAGTCAGATAGGTTTTTGGTTTCAAAGAAAGAATGACTAGGAGCTAGGTAATATACTAAATGTAGCTAAATTTGGGAGACTACTAAATTGTCATAATAAAGATAACTTAGACTGATTTTTGAATATATTTTCCAGGACCCTCAGAAGTCCATTCCGAAAGGCACTCTACTGGCCATTCTGTTGACTACGCTGTCGTACATGTTAATCGCGGTGGTGGCGGGCTGGACGGTCCTGAGGGACGCCTCGGGAGATGTGTCTGCACTGCAGGACTGGAGCCTGGCCAGCTGCGCGGCCAACAGGAGCTGTCCGTACGGACTGCACAACAGCAACGATGTGAGTGTGTCGCCAGTGTACTGTGGTGTGGGGGGAGAGGGGAAAGAAAAGACACAATGTGCTATTTCACCACACGATAGCTAAAGAATCAAAGAATTCGTTACCTACGTTAAGTGAAGACTGTGACGCATCGCGCGCCTCGAACGGGGAGGGGAATGCTGCCATTTTGAGTTCGTTTTGTTACGTACACGTATTCACGTAAAACACACGGCCGTGTTCACGACTCCGACAAAAGTAACGGTTACGTCGCCCTCTGACAGTCGGTACCTGCCGGTCATAAGGCACGTATGGAACGAGAATAAGTAATCAAATAGTCGCCGTCATACCGTTACCGTTACAGTCTGTTAACTTTCACTGCCGCACGTTGGCCTCCCCGTAGATTGCCTCAGGGATATTTGGCATAGTTGCCACGCCTGTCAAGCGGGTTGGCAAACTCTGTTTTTTATTTTTAGTTGTTATTAGGAAGGCATTTGCCCATCTGATTTGTTTCCCCCTGTCGGTTCTTACGATACCCACGGAATGGTATGGGGTGGTGGACATACTACACCGACACTACACGGTAAACTATACGTCTTGTACATTCTTCTCTTTATAATTCTAAAATAGTGTTTCTTATCTGTACAGGTAATCAGGCTGGTGTCGGGGTGGGGTCCGCTAATCTATGGCGGCTGTTTCGCTGCTACACTATCTTCTGCACTGGCTTCGCTTGTCTCCGCGCCTAAAGTTTTTCAGGTTAGTGGTACAAAATGAACTGTACTGTTTTTGACATACATGGAGTTTTAATGAGTTTTTTCGTCAAAAGTAATTTTTGACGACACATAGATTGTCTTATGGAGGAGTTTTTGCCATGGTTGCCACGCTTGGCAGGGATACTGCTGCCCATTCCCTGTTACATTTCTCTCTGTCGCCTCTTCCAATACCTACGGTGTAATATGTGGTGGTGAATATCCTTACACCACCACTAGAAGGGTGAGTGATAGCGTTACAGCGCGCTATCTCTTCTAGCGCGTGCTATGTGAGTAGTCGCCATGGCGCTATTGCGCTATGGAGCTTTGGCGCTATTAGGTATTAATATCTAGCGGCAATTAGTTCTAGCAGCAGCGCTGTTGGGAGAGGACGTGTGACGAAAATTTGATCTCGTAGCGCGCTATGCTACGCGTGCAGGATTGGTTATTGTATACTGTATTATAATTGATCGAAGGGCACAGTACAGTTGTCTGCTATAAAAGAAGCCTAACTAATGTTTTTTAATGTAAATAAGATATAGATACGGAAGTGTCATAGTCAGCATATCGTCCACCTCAATTGTTGAAAGTGCAGCAGAACATCTTTTTATTGAAGTCACACTTTCTTCCTTCAAAGTTCTCTTAGGCGTTGTTTATAGTCACTCTATCTCTGTTAATTATTTTTCTGCCTTTGAAAAAACTTTGGAAGAATTGATTCCGACATATAAACATGTTATCATTATGGGTGACTTCAATACGTGTCTTCTTAAAAATGATGTTCGGTCAAAGAAATTAAAGTCCGTAGTTAACTCATGTAATCTTTATATTTTGCCTTCTAATCCTACCCATTACTTTCCTAATAGTACCCCTTCTCTTCTTGATTTAATAATTGTTTCCTCTCCAGATTATATATTCAAACACGGCCAGTATAATGCCGATGCTTTTTCTTACCATGATCTGTTGTTTTTGTCTTATAAATTACGATCACCAAAAGTTAAGTCCCGTGTTCTTCTGCTACGTAGTTTTGCTAAAATGGACGTAGAATGTCTTAAAAATGATGCTGCCAGCATAGACTGGTCAATAATTGATGAGACCTCTGACGATAACGAACAAGTGCGTCTTTTAAATTCCATTTTAATTCAGCTTTACGAAAAGCATGCACCTTTACGACCAATTAAACTTAAGCATCCGCCGGCTCCTTGGCTCACAAATGAAATCAAAGACCTAATGTTAAGAAGGAACCAAGCCAAATCCAAATTTAAAAAAAAACCCTGTGATATAAATCGTGAGAAGTACAGGATACTTAGGAATCGCTGCAACACGATGTGTAGAGATGCGCAACGACGTCACATTCATAAGACAATTGATGAATCTGATCCTAATAAGGTTTGGAAATTTCTCAAAAGCTTGGGAATTGGTAAGAAGCAAAATGACTCCCTTCCTCCTGATTTAAACATTGAAATGCTTAATCAGCACTTTTCCTCAAGTTCTAGTCACGTTAACAGTTGTAAATCTAGAACCTTAAATCACCTTCATTCTTTGCCAACTCCCGATTTCTCTGAATTTGTTCTACGTCAGTTTGCTGACTGTGACGTTAAAAAGAATATCACAGCTGTAACTTCTAATGCAATTGGTAGTGATAATGTCAGCCGAAACATGATTCTCCCGCTATTAGATATCTTGACTCCTATCATAACCAAAATTTTCAACAACTCTATAAATACAGGTACTTTTCCTACATTATGGAAAGATGCACAAATTATTCCATTACCCAAGAAATCCAATCCCAAGTCCTTCTGTGATTATCGTCCTATTTCCATATTACCTTTTCTTTCTAAAAGTCTTGAGCGTCTTGTTCATCAGCAACTTAGTCTATTTTTGAATCAAAATAGCCTCTTAAATACATTCCAATCAGGTTTTCGCCCTGGCCATAGCACCGTCACTGCTCTGGTTAAAGTTACAGACGACATTCGAGCAGGAATGGAGAATCGGCAAGTTACTATTCTTACTCTTCTTGATTTTAGCAATGCTTTCAATACAGTCGATTTCGACATACTTCTAGCTGTGCTTCGTTCTATTAACGTATCTCCAGCAGCAACCGACTGGTTTCGTAGTTACTTGTTTGGACGCCGTCATTGCATCCGTAATGAAGACACTTATTCCTCGTGGTGTTTTCTAGATGCAGGCGTACCACAGGGTGGCGTGTTGTCTCCTCTCCTTTTCTCAATTTTCATATGCTCTATTACTTCAGGAATTTCTTCGCTCTACCATCTTTATGCAGACGATCTCCAAATATATTCTCAAACAAGTATTGAAAATCTTCCATCCGCCGTGCTATCCATAAATCGTGATCTCTCAATTATTTCTGAATTTTGCACATCTTATGGAATCAAGGTTAACCCTAGTAAAACACAGGTAATAGTGATAGGTAGCAGCAAACTACTACAAAAAATTACGTGGCATACGCTGCCCTTTGTTTGTTTTGAGAATTCTATTATTCCTTATAGTAAGGTTGTAAAAAAATCTAGGTGTTCTAATTGACAGTACAATGTCTTGGGCACCTCAAATTGAAGAGATAAGCAAGAAAATGTTTGCAGCTTGTGGAAGTCTTAAGAGACTCCGAAATTTCCTGCCCATTTCTACCAAAATTGCGTTAGCACATTCCATTTTGTTACCTATTTTAGACTATGCTGACATATGTTACACTGATATTATTCCATGGAGCAATTAAAGAAGCTTGAGCGTCTTCAGAATATATCCATTCGATTCATATTTGGTTTACGCAAATATGATCATGTATCCCAATTTCGAAATCAATTCAAGTGGCTCCCTATTCGCCTTCGCCGGAATGTTCATATACTCTCTTTACTTTTTTTGTGTACTGTTTGATCCGAAATCTCCAAGGTACCTTAAGGAACAATTTCACTATCGACATGAAATTCATAACCGCAATTTGCGTTCAGTGTACAGCTTGGCTTTAAGTACTCCTTACAACGTAACTTCATTTTATAATAAATCATTTACTTCACTAGCAACGCGACTTTGGAATTCATTACCACTTAACATTCAGAAAGCGCAATCTTTAGTCTTTTAAAAAGCTACTTATGGAGTATTATTTGAAGTTCCCGTCATAATAATAAATTATATTTATTTCTCTTCTCATATATACTTGATTTTTTTTGTTAAATTTTATCTGCAGTATATGTTTGAATATATTAAATTAAAATTATTGTACATATATATGTATATATGTATGTATATATCTATGTATATATATTATAAGTATGTACATAAATATATATATTTATAATCATTAAATATTGTATATATTAATAATATATTTTTATAAATATTATTCTTAATAATTTTTTTTTATGTTTATTTCATATTGCACGTTGCACCTATCCGTCAAAATATAAAATTATAATGTCCTTTTGTGTTCGGTTTGTCAGGCAGAAATCGCTTAAAGCGATATGACCGCCGTTTGTAGTCATAAGTTTTCCGTTATTGTAATAACTTTGTTCAAATGCAATAAAGAGTTATCTATCTATCTATCTATCTATCTATCTACGGAAGTGTATATAATAGTGTATGTAAATAGTTGATTTTTATGAATACAATCAATAAACTTTCAAATACACCTTTAATTGATTTAAATTAAATTTTTTAAAATTTATTAATTTTGTTAAAATAACGTTTACTTCAATTATAATAAAAAAGAATTAATTTTATTTCGTTTAAAAAAGTACATGCCCAAAAATATTGTTGGGATTATAGAAAGTCGTAAGCCTGAATTGTATGAAAAAGCGTTCATTGGTTTTTCTTTACCGCTTTATTTTATTTTAGTCTAAAATGCGAGTTGTTACGAAATAATGTTCATTATAAGCACGCGGTCTACCCAATGAACTACATGTAATGTAACTTGCTACGAGATATAACGTGCTGTAAAACTTAACGCGGTTGCCGGTCTCCACGCTTTCTTATAAATAGCGCGCTATAGCATAGCGTATTTAATAGCGCGCTAGAAATTTATAGTTTATAGTCTATAGCGTGCTATTGATTTATGATTTATAGTCGTTTTGAACAGTAGGCACTAGATTTTTACGTGGTAGAGCCATGCTGCTGCTATATTGCAACACGAATGGTTCTTCTCGCCCGGGGAAGGACCACGCTCTCACGGAATACCAGCATAAAATAGCAGCTTAATGTTACTGTTTCGTATGGTGAGTGTAGAGAACCGGAGACCCTTTTTACTGGAAACGAGGCATTCCATCTCAGAGCTGGCAACACATCTGCATTTTGATTCTTAATTGTAGATAAATGTAGATGTCTATGGGCCACACCACGTACTTACCATCAGGTCGACTGTGTGCTCGATTGTCACACTTATTCTTTAAAGAACATCCTTTTTTTATAATTTACTAAGCCTATAAACGTAATTTAAAAGATACTAATAAAGTGTTTTCGTCATGTCCGTAAGAAGTAATTATCTTTTATCTGCCTTTGTCTATTCCTCTTTTCTTTCTATCTTTCTCGTTTCCGTATTTAATTATAGGCTTAAATGTTGTTGTGCTTTGTTTCACTAGGCTTTATGCCAGGATAAGCTGTACCCGTACCTGGAGTTCTTCGCGAAAGGCTACGGCAGCAACAACGAGCCAGTGCGGGGATACGTGCTGACCTTCATCATCGCAACGGCTTTCATTCTTATGGGTGAGTGTGTTGCACGTGGCGAAATTATGTAAATTATAAATATAAGGAAATATACTTTCACTCCAAAAACCTATCTCTACTCTTCTAGTACTTATTTACAGTATTCTCTGTTGATTAACGGACGAGGGCCACTGCATCTTCTCTGAAAGAAGTCACGTTTTCAGTCCCAGCGGAATGGTTATCTGTTGGTTTTTGAGGTTCACGGCAGTTTAAATTCGGACTAAATGGAAAGAGGAAGCTGACGAACGAATTTCTGTACTACAAATTACGTGGAAATCAGCCAAAACTAATTTTTTATGTAGAGGATGATGCAAGATGAACTAGTGAAGCTCCTAATTATCAGTCTAATGGCCAAATATTCAGACGTTACTTAATCTTAAGGTGCCGTTAACTCTCATGATGTCACAGTCACTTTGTCTTAAAATGATAGAGACGGCACGAGCTTAAGGCATCTTAAAAATGAAAAACGTTTCATACGTGATAGAGCCGCGCTGCAACTATATTATAGTTGTAGCACGAATGTGTCGGCTCGGACCACGCTCTCATAGAATACCAGCGTAAAATAGTAGCTTAATACTGCTGTGTTTCGTATGGTGAGTGTAGAGATCCGGAGACACTTTTTTACTAGAAACGAGGCGTTCCATCTTAGTTCTCAGTGATCACTTCTGACAACGCATCTACGTTTTGATTCTTAATCGAGGATAAATGTTGATGTCTACGGGCCACAGCATCCGCTTACCATCAGGTAGACTGTGTGTTCGTTTGACAACCTTATTCTATAAAAAAATTATGGGCGTAAGTAAACTACAGAAGTCGAATGGCGGATTCGTAATCCATGACTTACATGTTCGCGGATCATATCTTTAACCGTAAGGCCAATGTCGCTGCGAAATTTATCCAATCGATGGCATTTCAGTGTGAATATCCCATGTCGTCCCGTGGGTGTCGTCAGAGGCGACGGACGGAGACCAACCAGGAGGTGGGCAGTAGTGTTTTCATTATAACAGCTAAATTATAAAAATCTGTGGGTTTCAACTCGCCTACCAAGCGTGGCAACTTCGCAAAATTCAGCAGGCGCTTTTGAGAGGCTACTCTAATGGTAATAATAAACTGAGCTCGTTTATATCCGCAGGTGGTTTGAACCAGATTGCGCCGCTTATCTCCAACTTCTTCCTGGCCGCGTACGCTCTGATCAACTTTTCCACTTTCCACGCGAGTCTTGCTAAACCGGTGGGATGGCGGCCTACATTCAGGGTGAGCTTAGTTGATATAGCAGAGTTATTTATTAACTCAACACAAATCTGCTGTCTTTAGTATTCAAGTGTTTTTATATTATTTGGACTGTATATACTGGAGGACTTTTACGGGCTAACACATTTTACGAAATGGTGTTTTGGGCCGTAAACACTATATATAAACTATCGATTACAACGTGGTAGAGCCATGCTGCAGTTATATTAGTTGTATAGTTGTAGCAGGAATGGGTCGGCTGGCCCGGGGAAGGACCACGTTCACACAGAATACCAGCGTGAAATAGCAGCATTAAGCTGCTGTGTTTCATATGGTGAGTGTGGAGAACCGGAGACCCTTTTTACTGCAAACGAGGCATTTCATCTTAGTCCTCACGGGTGACAACGCATCTGCATTTTGATTCGTAATCGAGGATAGATGTAGATGTGTATGGGCTACAGTAACCACTTACCATCAGACGGAGTGTGAGCTAGTTTGTAACCCTTATTCTATAAAAAATGAAAGAGAAGCAGAATGTACGATGTTGTGTGATATGAATCACCGTACAATGACGGTGTAAGAATATCCACTATCACGTATCATCCCGTGAGTGTCGTAATGTGATGGGCTGCAACGTCTTCCTAATAACGACTAAAAATTAAAAACTGCGGTGCCAACCCGCTTGCCAAGCGTGGCGACTATAGCAAATATTCCCTATGAGGCAACCTATGGGAGATACCTAAATACGATAGCGGTTACGTACGTTACGTACCCGCTATCGTACATCGTGTTTCGTACGTACGTACGTTACGTACGAAAACGGTGCTAGTAGCGGTGTGGTGTGCAGCTGTACAGCAAGTGGCTGTCGCTGTGCGGCGCGGCGCTGTGCGTGGCGATCATGTTCGTGGTGTCGTGGGCCACCGCGCTGCTCACCTTCGGCTTCCTGTTGGCGCTCTACCTGCTCGTCTCGCACCGGAAGCCAGGTCAATACACACATACCTTTCAACACTACCATTTAGTTATACAATCACATTTAATAAATAAATACAGTATATAAATTACTATCGCCCAACGGATTAGTAAGCTGAAGTAACAATGGGCCGGTTATATAGCTCGAAGAACCGACTACCGATGGGGAATCAAAATTCTCTAGTGGCAACCTTGTACCAGTAAGCGAGGTGTAGGGTGGCCCCCACGAAATAGAGTGACGACCTGGTAAATATGCAGGAAGGCAAAGAATCCAAGTGACTCAGGACTGTGCCCTATGACATTCCTGGGGGGAGACCTATGTTCAGCAATGGATTTATGAAGGGCTGCAATATGATGATGATGATAATAATGAAATTACTCACTACAGTTTGTCATTGACGCCGCAAAGCGGCGGACCTCAATTTTTAAAAAATGAGATCAAAGGAGAGCTTGAAAACATTTTCCGATTACTAATACTTAATAGTATTTGTAGTTTTCCATAACATCTAACATTTTTAATTTTCTGATGAAAAAATAGCTAGTAATCGGGGAATAATAAATGTTTTCTTGCTCCCTTTTAATTAAAAAAATTGAGGTTCACCCTTTGCGGCATCAGCGACGAGTTGTTTCACCTTTGATTTATGAAAAAGTCTTTTATTTGATTTATGTTTGTACTAATTTATTGTAATCAACCTCCGGTAGAATTTCATTTAAATCTGCTATACTTTGGATTCGTTAAAGATTCATAAGTAAGCCAGCAATGCACCACCGCTACGCCTCGGTTATGGCTGTGACATTATTTAGATTTGTATAATCAACAAATCAATTTCTCATTTGAAAAAATGTCGTATATTTGAGATAGAAAACATCTTTTTCGAATAAAATATAGATCTAATAAGATCCTATCCCTAGATCACCTCTGTCAGTGTGCTCTATTTATGCGTCAAGTTTCATTGTAATTAGTTTTCCCAATCCGCAGTTTAGCTCAGAAAGACAGACAAAAATTCATGTCTTAATCGTATACAAACTCACACAACTCGGCTGAATATAAGGCATCACATCACAGCACATCCATATCACAGACTAACGCTTCAATTTTATTTACATGTATAGATAATGCTAGAATTATTTCCTTAGATGTGAACTGGGGATCAACTACTCAAGCACAAACGTACAAGAACGCGCTGTCTGGAGTACACCAGCTTAACAGGGTCACTGAACATGTCAAAAATTACAGGTGACACTTGCATTATTGTTCCTAATAACATAATCGTAAAAGAGCTACTTTTTTAATTTGCGTAACTTAGAAATAAGTGTGGTGTTAGAATTGTTAGTTTTTGTTTCTCCTGGTTCGAAAGACCAAAATAATTTATTTTATAAAAAAACCTAACTATCAATGAAATAAGGTTTCCTAAAGAAAGCTTTTTCGCTATCATAAAACATATTAGATGCTTCTTAAAGTGAAATGAACTTTATGTATTTAAAAAAGAAATTGTAACAAAATTGCAAATAGATTGTTTTGATTTCAGACCACAGATATTGGTGCTGACTGGATTTCCCGGTGAAAGACCGATTCTGAGCGACTTAGCGTATCTTCTGACCAAAGGATTGTCGCTTATGCTTTGTGGTCATATTGTACAGGTATATCTAACAGATTCTTCTTATTTTAAATCATCAGGCCGTATATTTCCTCTACCAAACTTTTGCCTCTCCCGTTGTAGGGAGAAATTGCCTTATCGTTACGCTAGACAAACGGATTGACGATTGCAATACAAGACGTAAGCACGTTTGATGCTGTTGCCCGTAGTCAGTCTGAGTATTTTGCCTCTAGCGCAAACGAAATGGTTATACTGCCATCTATCGGAAGCCGTAAGTTCTTTCTGGCACACCCCTTAGTCGATTCTTACGACACCCATGAAATGGGGAGATAGATTTCTCTTAAGCCGCCACCGCCATGCCAGCTTCCCCACGGCAATAAATTAATTTAACGCTATAAATATAGAAAATAGTGACGCGCCACAACTAATGCCTGGTACATAGCGGCACTAGTTACCACTAGCGCCTTCTAGTATCGAGTAGCAGAACTAGGAGAGTCAAGATCCTTCTAGAAAGGAGACGGTCAATTTCAGGCCCAGTATATGTACACTTTACTGTAAAAAATCGAAAAATTCAGGGATTTCATTAAAATAAAAATAAGAGTATAAATCGAACAACTTGCTAAAAATAAAAATGCAATCCCAATTTATGATGACTTTAGAAGATGGCACGCTTACAGTTATACTGTTATATGTCAAATGTTATGTCTGACACGTGACCTGAGTCATGAAATTATGTAAGTAGTGTGATATTTTTTTGTTTATTCTGAGCTCCTGGATTGCTTTGATATTGATATGCAAATATCAACAAGAACGTTACTTGTTCCAAGACTAAAATAGCACATCCCCAAGTTTCGAGACATTTTAGCTATTGTATATAATAAATCTACCTGATAGGCTATCAGTGATAAGAATAACACATCATTTCAGAATTCAAATATCTGTTAACAATTGATCAATAACTTCATGAGAATTTTGGCGGGAACTTGGTCGTAGACGGACTGTTGCTCCTGTTTTGTCGCTTAAATAATGGTTTGAAGTGGATTTTGATTCATAACTATTAGAGAAAACGACGAAACAAGTACTTTGATGTCGATATAAACCTCAAGTTATTTTGATCGCTTGGGCGCTTTATGAACTTGAGTGACTGTCGTCATTAACATTGGTTGAGCTGTCGTCAATTTCTCCCAAGGGGTTCGCAATGTGACGCACCAGCATACTGTGAAGAATAAGAATATAAAAATGAAGATTCCGAAAGAAGTTATAGGCTCAAAAGGGCTAGAACCCAGAGCCGTATAGCCAGTTAATAAAAAAATAACTTAATGACAGTTGACAGCTAACGTCAAAACAACATCAATTCGCCATTAGTGTTGCAGTTTTTGGTAAAAATAAAGTATTAATACCACATCTAATAAAGGCAAATTCGTGGATTTTAATGACCAAAAGTGGTATAATATCTTATTTTAATTTACTTCCCTTGTACAAAACCAGGCCTACGCTTCATATAAGTTCCGACCGTCTTCTTTTCCACGCTAGAACTTTCTCGAACTATAGACACCTAGCCAGTCGGGACCGGTATATACTCGAACATTCTAGATGTTTCTACGATAGAAGGTTCTGGAACTATCCGAGGCCCTATAATAGTGCACGCAATTGAGGGAGGGCGGGAGGTGCTCTTCAGTCCAGATAGGACACATCATTGTATTTATTAAGCGGATGGTTGCGAATTAATTAATATCTATTATAATTTTAACTATCGAAGTCCACCGTTGAACATATGCATTATAGATTGCCTCATATGTGCCATATTGTCACGCTTGGCAAGCGGATTGGCAACAGCATTATTTATTTTAAGTTAGTAATAGAAAGACACTGTTGTTCATCTGACTTTGTCATCATCTTGCGACAGCCACGGAATGATATGGGATAGTGGATATTCTGACACCGTCACACGGTACTTCAAATTTATTAGGTTTGCCTCACGTACTTTGATTTGATTAGGTTATAGCTTATCCTTTTATGTTCCAACAGTGAGTTTCATTACAATTTTTAATCTACAGGGTCAGATAAATCATCGCACGCGCGAAGCGTTAACCAACCGCGCCTATCACTGGTTTATGAAGCGGAAAATAAAAGCTTTTTACAGCATAGTTGACGATGTTTCCTTCAAAGATGGCGCTAGTGCTCTCATACAGGTAGGTTTGAAACTTGTTATAAAACACGTTACGTTAATTTTTAGTGAGAAAAATTTAGAGATTTTGTAAAAATAAAGACTTCGATTTGACTTTGACATAGAGTAAACGGTGTGTTAATTTTTTTGGGTCGAAAATAGGTTTATTTCAGATATAATTTTTATTTAAAAAAAAATATAATAGAAGAGACAATATCTAAGGAGCTTCTTTCACAGTTTCATTTCCGTATAGTAACTATACTTACTAAAACAGAAACTTACTTGCGTATGTTGCTTAAATTTTAAAAACTTTCATTATCACGTATGTGATATTGACATAAAAATTATCAAGTGGACTATTTTTTTGTAGCCACAATTTCGAAACTTTAAGAAAAGAAGAAAAAAGTACAGACACATAAACAATAGTTTGAATAAAATGATTTGGCTTGTGTACAAAACAATAAAAAAGTAAATTTCAACATTGCAAAATCATTTTCAGGCGAGTGGGTTGGGCAAATTGAAACCAAACATTCTGATGATGGGCTTCAAGGAGGACTGGCAGACTTGTGATCGCTCCGAAATTGTCGACTATGTCGAGGTCATGCAGTAAGTTTTTTTTAATCATTATATTGTAGGAGGTTAAGCTGGGCAAATATGGAAACGCCTTTCACTAATCCAAGAATATAATGTTTTTTTTTTACACTAGGACAGTTTGCAATACAGATATTATAGTACCAAAACAAGAGAAATTAAGACTAAATACAAGTAATTAAACGTATAAAAGAATTTAAGGTATGCAAGCCAAAAATAGATTTTTGAGATTTGAAAGGCAACCGTTACTCCGCCGGCGCAAAACGTGGGGTCTAACGCTGAGGCCGTTTCAATGCAGACTGCCGGGAAAAACGAAGACGCCCGGGCCGTCACGAAGGCAACCTGAACGCAGCCGAGCACCTCCGACCGCAACCGACACGAACATCGCGCCGGCGCGTGCGACGCTCAATACATAAACAAAATCATACATAAAAAAAAAGACAAAACTGCACGTCGCCTCAATATGTATCACATATTACCAATTCTGACAGGAATCTCTTACCAATCGTAGTACCAGGTGTCTCGCACTTTTGACATTTTTCCCGTCATTGGTCAGGGGTTTTACATTTGGGCTTATATGAGACACGGGGCATGAAATCGAGAACATTTCTTCTTCTTATTGTTAACGTGGGAGGGCATCACTGCAGCTATATAATGGCTGCAGTACGAATCGGTCCGGACCGGGGAAGAACCATTTAAAGAATAACAATATAAATTGAAGTAACAATCAGGCTGCAGCCCACTTGATGGTAATGACGACTGCAGCTCATGAAAAAATGTAAATAAAGTTATAGGCTATGGTTGCGCGGAAAACCATTCGCGTTTTTTTTTTATTTTTGACGGTAGGAACTTGTCGAATCATTATTCCCCTTCCGAAACAATATCATTCGTACCCTCCTATCGACACATCGGGGTGGTGGGGTGGGAGGGGAAAGAAGACGATTCTAGAACATCGCGTAATCATCGGACCCGAGGATATATAAGACACGCGCGACCGACGCGCGCTCTCTTCTCCCGCCGCAGTCGTCGTTGAACCAACTCTTCTCTCCTGACGCACCACTGGGGCCCCAGAAGTGTCTGTCCAGAGGAGGTTCCGGAAGTCGCCGCTATAGTGATCGACAGGAAGAAGAAACCCCGGTGAGTCAATACTCCTTAATTATACCTGCTTGCTAATAGTTTAACCCGCTCCTATCTGTGTTTTTTTCCTAGTCAAGCAGGATTCCTTTCATCGATTCGACAAGTAATAGTTTAGTTTAGGGAAGAGCGAGTGCATTGTACCGCATGCTATAGTAGTCGCTTTTAACGTAAGCGTAGAAGCAATCGCATATACAGTCCACTTTAGTTAATATCTCGCGTAATAGGTTTGAGGTTTGACCGGGGAACTAGATTTTCGGCAGCCTTAAACACGTGGCTCCACCATTTTATGGTCACTTCGGCAGGATCTGGATTGGTGTTTAGTGGTTATCCAACCATTTTCTGGTCGAATTATTAAATTAATTGTTTAGATAACGCACTCTAACTTATGGAATAGACTTAAATAGTGTTCGTTTAAATTAAAAATTTGATTTGTTACTCGCAAACAGAATTATTCATTTAATAGCGCTCGTATTTGGTTAAATTTAAAGCTTATTAAATAATTGAAACGGCGTGATAGCAACCGTTTGATACGCTTACCCCACAATTTTATAAAATTATTAGGTTTAGCAAACGACGCGTAGCCTTGACTGCATCGGGCGCTCGATCTGATTACGTAATACAGCACGCCGAGTATTCATCCTACGTCGTTTATGCGTGTGAGATTAATTGTGATTAATATAACTTTATTATAATAATTTAAAATGGCAGTTAGTGGAAGTGAAATCAAAATTAAAACGCTTTATGCCAAGAGGGACATACTCTTTTCGCGTGTGCAAAATATAAGTGATTATATAAAGAACATTCATATAGAGGCAGTACGGGAGGCCTTTTTTAAATGAAATCGAAACGATAGATAATTTGCGGACAGATTACGAAAGAATATTAGACCAAATTAATCATTCGGAACTACAAACCGACCCGAAATACATAGTGAACTACCAACCGCTGCTGGCATTCGAAGATATGTTGTGTCGCGTGAAGAGAACCGCAAAATTGCTACAATCTCAAGGTGAAGCGAAGCCTGAAATGCAGGTACGCCCTCGTGATTCAATTAGGTTACCGCCAATAGATATTCCGGTATTCAATGGTGATATTAAGACGTGGCCCTTCTTCTTCAGTAGTTTTCAAAACAATATACACAACAACCCATCGTTATCGGACGCTGAAAAATTATATTACTTAATTAGCAAACTTAGTGGCAGAGCACAGTCGATCTGCTCGGGTTTTACACCTACAGCAAACAATTACGTATTAATATTTGAAACGCTTAAAACTAAATATGAAGATAGGAGAATGTTAGCTTCCGAATATTTGAACCAGATATTCGATCTTAAACCTATATCATCCGCGAACATCAACGGCTTAGAGCAGTTTCTCGATAAATTTGTGGCATCGGTGGCTGCACTTAAGAATTTGAAGTTTAATGACCTCATGGACGTGGTGTTTCTCCATATAGCATTAAAGAAATTAGACTCCGACACCGTGCGTGCGTTTGAAATGGAGCATCGTAGCTCGGAGATGCCTTCCTTTCATTCATTAGCATCGTTCGTGCGAGATCAAATAAAGGTGATGCAGCGCTCACCGAACGTTAAACAGGAGATTAAAAGGTGCGTCGACCGTAGACAGACTCAACCATCTAAAATAGCAGGGTCGTTAACTTACGTAACCGCTACGCCGACATCGCTCCAGCATACTTGTATAGTATGTAAAGATAAACACGGTAATTTATATAACTGTGCGACTTTTCGTAAATATTCACCAAGCGAACGTTATAAGTTAGTAAAAACAAACAACCTATGTTTGAACTGCTTAAGCGATAAGCATTTAGTTGCAAAATGCAATTCGAGTTCCGTATGTAGCAAGTGCGCCAGGAAACATCACACGCTATTACATTTTGAAAATAGCAACATAGCGGCGTCAAGTAAGGCGAATGAGGAATTCACCCCTACTAAGGTCAACGATTCTAGCGGTCGACCTGGTGATGTCGCTCTGTGCTCATTGGCAAATATGGGAGCACAACCTCCTTCAACCGTGTTACTGGGTACGGCGCGTATTTTGGTTAGGGATTCGCGTGGAAACAAACAAAGCGTCCGTGCACTGCTGGACAGCGGAGCCCAAAATAGCTTTATAACACGACAATGTTGTCAGCGCTTAGGCTTAGTAATAAATAGGTCACTTTCATGTCCTGTAGTTAAAGGCATCGGAGGTACTAGTAAAGCGACACAGGGATATATAAATTTAAAATTTTATTCTCGGATAGATCGTAACGTTAACTTTGATATAAATGCACTAGTAGTAGATAGGGTCACTGAACGGTTGCCAACCGTTTCGGTTGACACCTCGGCAATGATTGAATTTAAAAATTTGACTCTAGCAGACGACACTTACGCCGTTCCTGGAAACATAGACATGCTTATTGGGGCATCGCTTTTCCCTCATCTTTTGTTAAACAATAAGGTCAGGGGCAACTCCTCGCATACCGCGCCTTACGCACTGGAAACCGTATTGGGCTATGTGATCCTTGGCTCCGCCCCCATCCTAGATAGTATTTCGGCAGCCTCTTATTGTGGTATGGCTGTCGAACCGCTCGAGTCGTTAGTCCGCAAATTTTGGGAGATGGAGGAGGTGAACGTCCCACCCATAGCTAGTTCAAATGACAGGATATGCGAGGAAATTTACGTCCGCACGACCGTTCGTGATCGCGACGGTAGATATAGTGTAGCGCTACCCTTTAAGGGAGATGTTTTATCTCTCGGCGATTCGCGTCAAATGGCGGAAAAACGTTTCTACAGCTTGGAGCGTAGGATGCTCGCTTCGCCCCAGTTAAAGGAAGCTTACGACGGCGTCATTAACGAATATATAAGAGAAGGTTACATATCACTTGTGGCTTCGAAATTAGATAACTACGAAGACACACCGTCGTATTTTATACCACACCACGGAGTCATTAGAGAGGACAAACTTACATCTAAATTACGTGTAGTGCTCGACGCTAGTGCTAAAACTAGCACTCACCTGTCGCTTAACGATATCCTCTATAGTGGGCAAAATTTACAGGGCAGTTTATTTGATATAATAGTCAATTTTCGTTTGTTTAGTATAGCACTATCCGCCGATATTCGCCAAATGTTTCTTTGCATAGGGGTCCGTGAATGCGACCGTAGATTCCAGCGCATTTTATATCGTTTCCACCCAAAGGAACCTCTAATGGTGTTAGAATTTAACCGCATTTGTTTTGGTTTAAAGTCGAGCCCATTTCATGCGTTACGCACGGTGAGACAGCTCGCTCACGATGAAGGTCCCTCTTATCCTAAAGCTAAGAGGGCAATTGAGAGCGGATTATATATGGATGATTTTGTGTATTCGGTCGATAGCGTGGAGGAGGCCACCCTAACCACCGCCGAGGTTATAAGGCTCATGAAATCGGGTCAATTCGATCTTGTGAAGTGGACTAGTAATTCGCGTCCGGTTTTAGATACAATCCCACTATCACACCGTCTTTCGGCGATAAAGGAATTCGACGATTCCGATACACACAAGGTGCTCGGTCTGTGTTGGTCACCAGAGTCCGACGTGTTTAGCCTTAAGGTAAATCCGCCCGTAGAGAAATGCACAAAGCGCACAATACTGTCATGCGTTGCTAGATTATGGGACGTCATGGGTTTCGTAGCTCCGGTGGTATTATACGCTAAGCTTTTGATTAAACAACTTTGGTTATTTGAATGCGATTGGGATGACTCGCCGCCTGACAGCATTGTTCGATTGTGGCAGCGCTTTAGAGAGGAACTTCCTTTACTAAGAGAAATTAAAATACCGCGTCATATAAATGTCGATAGAAATAGCAGCATAACGGTTGTTGGATTTGCAGACGCCAGCGAGAAGGCTTACGGGGGCGTTGTATATTTCCATGTCCAGAATAATGGTAGAAATTCGATTAGCCTCATTAGTTCTAAGTCGAGAGTCTCCCCCCGTAAGGTTGTCTCTCTGGCGCGCTTAGAGCTTTGCGCAATATTAGTACTCACCAAGCTTATTACCACAGTTATCGGCGCATGTAGGGATAGAGTTCACATAGAAAGAATATTTGCCTTTTCCGACTCCACCGTCGCCTTATGTTGGGTTCATTCTTCACCCCACCGTTGGGATACGTTTGTCGCGAACCGAGTGGCCAAGATCCAAGACGAGTTAGAAACGCGGAACTTTTATCACGTGTCCGGTAAGGAAAACCCTGCCGATTGTCTATCCCGGGGACTCACCCCGATGTAAATAATGGACCACCCGCTTTGGTTCCATGGACCTTCTTGGGTTTACTTGGATCCCTCACAATGGCCAATAACCGATTTCGAACCTTCGTCAGTGTCACAACCGCCGGAAGAGAAGAGACACGCTCTAGTGGCGAACGTTTCGAGCGAGGTTTCTCCAATCATTGCTCTGGCGAACCGCTTGTCCTCTTGGTCGAAATTATTGCGTAGCGTAATTTACGTTTGTCGATTCGCGAAGCTTTTACCGCGACGTCCGTATGTCTTAGCATCCGATTACAACTATGCCGAGTCGCTAGTATTACGTGAACTTCAACGTGCGCACTTCTCTGAAGAAATTACAAGATTACAATCGAATAGAGCTTGTAGTCGCGCCTTTCAACGCCTTAAGCCATTTTTACAGGATGGGATTGTAAGGGTAGGTGGACGCTTGTCCAACTCGCAATTGAGTTTCGACCAACGGCACCCTATAGTTTTACCGCGTAAAGACCATATCATGAACTTATTAGTCGATTATCATCATAAATTGAACTCGCACGCTGGCCCCGATTTATTGATGTCGATCTTGCGTCAGAATTATTGGATTCTTTCTGCACGTAGTTTAATACGCAATCGGGTGCACAGATGTATAGCTTGCTTTCGGGCACGCCCCAAGCCGTCATTTCCGGAAATGGCGGAACTTAGATCTTGTAGAGTGATACAATCGGTAAAGCCCTTCACGCACACCGGGTCTGATTTTGCTGGTCCGTTTAAGGTCACGCTCACTCGCGGGCGTGGTATAAGATCGCTTACGTCTGCATTTTCGTATGTCTAACTACTCGAGCAGTGCATATAGAACTCGTTGGTGATCTAAGCACAGCAGGCTTTATGGGTGCATTTAAAAGATTTCTATCGCGCAGAGGCCATGTAAGTAAATTATATTCGGATAACGGTACGAACTACGTCGGTGCAAAACGTATTCTATCGGAACTACACGAGCTCTTAGCTAGCAAGTATTATAATTCGGAGTTCGCTCACATTCTAGCCGAGAACCGCATTGAGTGGTCTCTGAACGTCCCAGCCGCGAGTCATTTTGGGGGCAATTGGGAGACTAATATTAAAAGTCTAAAGAGCCACTTATACCGAGTAATAGGAGATCAAATTTTGTCCTTCGAAGAGCTAAGTACGGTGCTCGCTCAAATTGAATGCGTAATGAATAGCCGCCCACTTTGTCGGACGTTATCTAGTGACCCCTCGGAACCGCTGGCTCTAACTCCAGCACATTTTTTTGACTTTAACGCCTCTAAGGTATCTGCCCGCCGCGGATATGGATGAGAACAGACTTAGCATTTCCACACGCCACAAATTATTAGATCGGTTAGTGCAATCGTTTTGGAAACGATGGAGGATGGAATACTTGCATACTTTGCAGTCTCGGCAAAAATGGAACACAGCGACAGAGCCTTTAGCTGTAGGAACCGTAGTTGTGCTCACTAAGGAGAATACGCCGCCTCTCCACTGGCCGTTAGGAATCGTCGAGGAGGTCTTTCCCGGTTCCGACGGAGTAATTAGGATAGCTCGCGTTAAGACCACGGTTGGGTCTTACCTACGTCCTGTTATCCGTTTGTGCCCCTTGCCTCTTCCATAATTTAAATTAGCTTTCTAGACTGAAATTGTAGTTTAATTTAGGTAATCTTAGCGTTAGTTAGTTATTTGTTAGTCGATCTTAGCTCTAGTTGTTTAGTTATTTTTTTTTTGAAGGAAATCCTTCAAGGGCGGGGGAGATGGTTGCGCGGAAAACCATTCGCGTTTTTTTTATTTTTGACGGTAGGAACTTGTCGAATCATTATTCCCTTCCGAAACAATATCATTCGTACCCTCCTATCGACACATCGGGGTGGTGGGGTGGGAGGGGAAAGAAGACGATTCTAGAACATCGCGTAATCATCGGACCCGAGGATATATAAGACACGCGCGACCGACGCGCGCTCTCTTCTCCCGCCGCAGTCGTCGTTGAACCAACTCTTCTCTCCTGACGCACCACTGGGGCCCCAGAAGTGTCTGTCCAGAGGAGGTTCCGGAAGTCGCCGCTATAGTGATCGACAGGAAGAAGAAACCCCGGTGAGTCAATACTCCTTAATTATACCTGCTTGCTAATAGTTTAACCCGCTCCTATCTGTGTTTTTTTCCTAGTCAAGCAGGATTCCTTTCATCGATTCGACAAGTAATAGTTTAGTTTAGGGAAGAGCGAGTGCATTGTACCGCATGCTATAGTAGTCGCTTTTAACGTAAGCGTAGAAGCAATCGCATATACAGTCCACTTTAGTTAATATCTCGCGTAATAGGTTTGAGGTTTGACCGGGGAACTAGATTTTCGGCAGCCTTAAACACGTGGCTCCACCAGGCTACATACGTGCCGCTCCTGGGCACGGGCCTCTCCTCGTTTCTGAGAGGGGTTTAGGACAAGGAAGTGTCCACTGCGCTGCCCCGATGCGTGTATGTTGGTGACCGTCACATTTCTTCGAAATATAGTTTTTTTTGAATTTCTCAGACGTGCATTCCTCACGATGTTTTCCTTCGCCGCCGAGCATGTGGTAAATCAGCACCTAAAATTGCATTGCATTGCTTAACTCGCGTACTTTGAAATTGATAGCAACCGCTAACCATCTGAGCTACCACAACTATGTCTATAAAAACCTACAGCTTAATTCAAACAAAACAATGGTAGTCTGTATAGTCGGTTTACGGACGATAGTTTAACGTGACAACGTCATAACAAAACATTGATGAAATTATTGCATACTTATTCATGCAGCGCAAGCCGATCGTGTCTTTCGCTCGTTCGTGCCGCACTCTCGCTCCGATCGTGCTCGGCTCGGTTGGAGCCTAACGGGACAATAAGTCATCCTTTTTCGTGCAGCCGGCGTTCATCGATTTATTAGACGTCACGTCAAAAAAACAATTACTACAAATGTGTTGTCATGTAGTCGGTGAATTATTATGTATTAGTTAAATAAGTATTAGATATAAGTTTATAATGGCATGAAGCATCGTTTAGATAACACACGTCTCACTTCACTTCTCCCTTCCTCCACGCGCCGCAGTCACCTCTGGGGACTTATATGGAATGCCTCACAGCCTGTTATTTTTCTGACTCTATACCCTTCAGACGAGAACACAGCAGCGCTGGCCCTAAAGTTTTGCGGCGGGAATAGGTAAGAGGATGGTATTTACCAAGACGGACTCCTAAACAGAAAGGAGGTCCTATCACCTTGTATATTTGACATCTGTTAAATATATTATTATGTTATCTCTACAGCAAAGCCCTTGACGTGCATATGGCCCTCGCTTTGCTGCGAGTGGAGGGCGGACTCTATAAGGATGATGCTTTGGATGAGGATCTTCGCGCTTGCTTGAAGGATCTGAATGTTACCGACGCCGGTGCTTTCTCACGTGAGTACTATTAAAGAGACAAAAGATGAAATTTAATGTATTTTTGTTATGTGTCTGCCAAATAACGTAGTAGTGAATGGAAGCTGTTGTAACCTCGTTAGATTTGTTCATATCTTTTATAAAGCTAGCTAGTTCTATATTCAAAATGTTTAAATAACTAATTAAAACATGTAAAATGTTTGTCAATTAATTTATGTGCACACTAGATCACCTTTGCTAGCGTTCATGTATTCGTACGTAAAAACTATGTGTAACAATTTTTTTACGGTAAATATTACGTATCATCGAACTTTAGAAAGAGACTATCGGGTATAATCGTATTTGTAGAGCGTCGTCTCTGTTGCACGACGTTTTAAAGTTGCGAAATACCAAAGAGAACTGAAACGAAACCGGTGTGCAATAAATTCACACATACCTATGTATTTCTATCTATAATAATAGTACCAACTATAGCTTAAAGGCAAAAATCTAACGTGCTAATGCTTGCAGGATAACAATAGAAAATGGGTTTATTTTACTCTCTAAACATCAATTTTCATGACACTGTCCGTGACATAAAATTAATATGAATTTAATTATAAAATAATGTTTATTTAATATTTTTATGTAAAATAATGTAACGAGGATATCCACAGAAGATCTAGAATGACTTAACACAATAGATCCCCTCATGACATCCAAGAAGTCTCAGGACCAGGACTTGTGGCAAACTGTGGGGGTCGACTATGTATGTAAAAAATGAAGTATTCTTTGGTCATCCTAAACAACGCACTTGAAGTTAGTACGCAATGCGAATCTAAATGTCAATTTGACAGATTTTTGACCGTTCAGTCCTATTGTTATCGTTTAAGCATAGTAGTTTTAAGTCTTCATAAACATTGTCGCATCGTAATATTGTGATAGATCATTCCTGTGTTCATTTTCAAACGCATTATATGTATATGTAGAATTGCCGGCAAACAACTTGAGCATACGCGAAAAGCGACAATAAAGATGCGAGGCCGCTTATTCATAGAAATCAGAAAAGAAAAAAAGAAAAAACAAAAAAAAATTGTAACTAAAGATATAATATACTAATACAGGACTATTCATTGATTAAAACTACTTTTACGGATTTTATCGCGTTTTATTAATATTAATTTTAATACCCGACGTTTCGGGTGCTTTCCAGCACCTATGGTCACGGGGGACTGAGGTGACTGACGTCCCGAAACTAAACCCAACTAAACCCAAGCATACCACTGCAAGACTTCAAAATACAGTTAGTTCATTCTGCGTAGATCGGACCAAAGACAATAATTAAAAAGCTGAAGGTACTCCGGGTTAACTTTGACATCGGGACGTTAGTCACCTCAGTCCCCCTGGGTGTGGACCCGGATATTAAAATTAATATAAATAAAACGCGTTAAAATCCGTAAAAGTAATTTTAATCAATGTATAGTGTTCGCGTAAATATAAGAAATCATTATAATACAGGACTAAAAAAAAATGCTAAATAAAATAAAAGCAATTCAATCAGCAGAGGGGGATCTTTGCAGTAAACGTTATAAGTGCTCAAGTTGTTGCCGATTGTACGTGAAAGTACCGCGCCATTTTGTATTTGTGTAATCCATTACGCTTCAAAGTATATTCGCAAATAACAAGTCGCTTCTCAATTGTGCTCACCGTTTTTCACGTCGACTCATCGCAGATTCGATGGGCGACAGCTACAAGGGGTCCAAGTCAACGGAGAGCCTCAACACACATTCGAGAGGTGAGTTTGACCATTAATCACTCTATTAGATATTGTTGTCATCATTTGTCACTAGCATTAGCGTTATTAACATATATCTAATGTATAAAAATTAATGTTTGTTTGTTCGTATTATGTGCGCAGCCATTCTGTTGATCATATTGCGTTTAAACTTTGTCAACATATTACTTGCGCTTCCGTGCAGGTTATAGGCATAGTTGAACCCGGTAGGTGGAATTGTTGTAGAATCCAGATATCAACCGTACGAAGCCGGGGCAGATATCTTGTTTATTATAAATGTGTATATCTTTATATATACTGGATGTTTCTTTTTACCATCTAGAAAAAAATAGGGTGTAACATGTGAACGGACTAGAGGCCTACGATACTGATATTTTACAAAAAATAAAAACAAAGATTTTAAATTAAATAAATAAATTAAAATCTATTGAAATTCAAATCATATCCACCGTAGCCTGTGATCCTGCGAAGTGACAAGGTCAAAGATGCCTACTAAATGTATCGTTTTATTGCTGTTCGTAAAGTACGGTGGATATGATTTTAATTTCGATAGATTTTAATTAATTAATATATTTAATTCAATATTTTAGTTTCTATTATTGTAAAATATCAGTGCCATAGGCTTTCTACTCCGTTCACATATTGCACCCCATTTTTACCAGGCAGTAAAAAAGTCATTCAGTATAATTATTCTGTACGTGTGTAGCTCAGATGGCTAACGCTCGCTGTAAATATAACAGAACGCGAGTAACCCGGATTCGATCCCCGCCGGCACCTATGAAATTGTTAATTGCAATTTTAAGTGCTAATTTACCACGTGCTCGGCGGTGAAAGAAAATATCGCGAGGAAACCTGCATGTTTGAGGAATAAGAAAAAAAATATGTCGAAACATGTGAAGTTCGCCAACACGCATTGGGACAGCGCGGCGGACACTTCCTTGCCCTAAAACACTCTTAGAAATGAGGGGAGGCCTGTGTCCAGCAGTGGGACGTATATAGGCTGTAACTTTACTTTTACGTGTGCTTGTCACTAAACACCGAAACGCCTGGACCTATCTTGATTAAATTTGTGTACGTTTTTGTGGGTCTCTGGATGGTGTAGATTCACAATCAGGTGGCGCTGCTATTGAGATGCAGATATAACTAGTGCGAAGCTGGACGAATCGCTAGTGTTCTACAAATTATGATTTCTTATGTTTACGCGAACACTTCTTGAATGAAACTAGTTTTTACGATTTTTTTCTTGTTAATTAACTTTTTTTAAACATAATTATTGTGACAAACGAGTGCACAGAGTACCTGATGGTAAGTAGATGCTTGGCCTATAGACATCTACATTTATCCATGATTAAGAATCAAAACGCTTACGCGTTACCACCCCTGAGAACTAAGATAGAATGCCTTATAGTTAACAGTAAAAAGGGTCTTCAGTTCTCTACACTCACCATAGAAAACACAGTAGCTTTAAGCTGCTATTTTGCGCTGGTATTCTGTGAGAGCGTGGCCCTTCCCTCGAAACTTATTTTATATTTAGATCACATTTTACAGCACCCATAGTTTAAGAACAGAGGTTTTTAACGTCTCAATTTCATAGTTAACCACGCGTACCTTCATTTTAAAATTATTAAATTTGATGAGTGCTCTAAAGTACTCGAAACGTCGGGAATATAAAAGAAGTGAATGAATGCGATAAAATCTGTAAAAACTAGTTTCATTTAATGTTATAAATTGTTCAGTTTTATTTCTGATGCAAGAGACAGTAATATTGAAAGAATTTAACAATGTACTTTTGCAGGAAGCAGCATTTCGGATCTGTCTTTGGGTGTGTCGAAAGATCCGGCGGCTAATCGAGACGCGTCACAGGAACAAAAAGACACGTATGTGTTACTTTGATAACTGAAAATTTTTTATATTTAAATGCATGCACCATGGAGATTAGAGAACAGGAGAACGATCCCCGTAGAAAATAGTGTCCCAGAAATATGGACACCATAAGTGGGGCGCTGCGATCGCTAAGTTCGCTCAATAAAAGTCATTCTCAGTCCATTTTTCCGATCAGATGCTAAACCACTTGCACATCCACGTACAATAAAATATTTCTCCATTGTTTAATGTTTCGTTTTGTCAAAAATTAAAAAATTGCGGAGCATGAAAATTTTCTTTCCAATGCCGCGAAGAAAATTAGTACATTATTCAACTATTCAATTTCGCAGTCACTACTCACCGACGGCAGTGCCGCTATAAATTCTACAAATTTTCAAGGACTGACGGGCTATGCATTAATACGTAGCGATCGTTCTCCTGTTCTCTAACATCCATGGCATGAACTTTGAACAGCTAATTGTGTTGTTGATCAGAAACCGATTTATTAAAGGAATTAGGAATTTGTGCAAAGTAACGCCCTACTCTATTATGGATTTAAATATTTCAGCGGTAAAAGCGGTCGTAACTGGCGACGAGCGGTGGCTGCTTCCAGACGCGCTTCGTCGTTCAGTTCTGTGGAGCAGTTCACACGTAAACACGCCGGCACCGTGGACGTCTGGTGGCTCTACGATGATGGAGGTACTAAACTGAGTCACTAACACAGTTTAAAGATAGTCTAACAGCTGGGAAGCGAATGTACTTGTAGGGCGGCACACTGCACTAATTCTGCTGTACAATAATGTTAAAATTTGTAAATAAGTTAAATTCAGCAAAAAAATGTTACATCTAATTAGTCAAAATTTGCACGCCTCGATAAGGCAGAATGTATAAGAACTTGTATGTTTTAATAATACTATTGTAATATCTACCTACATTCTATGCAAATAAATAATTATGAATTATGAAATACATGCGGTTGACGCAGCGTATTTTATAGTACTTATTAAACTAATTATAAGTGCCGTTTTTGAAAAATATAATATCTATAATGGTGAATTACTGTTATACTTATATTTTAACGTGGTAGAGCCATGCTGTAGCTGTATTAGTGTTATAGTTGTAGCACGAATGGGTCGGCTAGACCGAGGAAGGATGACACTCTCACAGAATTCCAGCGTAAAATAGCAGCTGCTGTGTCGAGATCCGGAGACCCTTTTTACTGGAAACTGGGCCATTCCATCTTAGTCCTCAGGAGTGCTAAAGCGTGTGCATTTTGATTCTTAATTGAGGTAATGTAGATGTCTATGGGCCACAGCATCTACTTGCCATCAGGTTGACTGTGTGCTCGTTTGACGAAAGTGTCTCATATTACAGCTAAATATTACTGATAGAAGAATGACAAGATTATATCTTTTGTATAAATAAGTATGTTTATATTGTGGTATGACTTTTTAGTACTACCTATCCTACTATCCTCTTACATATTTCCGCAGCCAAAAAGCATTGCTTGCGGAACAGAAAAAGAAACTTTTTTATTCAAAATAGATGATAAATAATACTTATTGAAAGTCACTTTTTTAATTTACCACTAGTTCAGAACCAGCAAGAAACCCGGGACTTTTTTTATACAACAGCTTACAATAGTGTATGTTACATACTTAAATATAATGAAATAGCTTAGTAGCGATCACCCTTCTCAAGGGTTATTATCATTAATGAATTCCTTAATATTATAATAACCCTTTTTATTCACGTATCTCGTCGCCACTATTGTGTATATGAAATATATTTATAATGATTACACTTAATACGGCACTTAATCATTTATTTGAACTTAATTTACATAATAGTATGAAAAACAAGGTTAGTACGTAATGGGAGTAAAAATGGAATATATAGCATAAATGAGCATAGATAACAAAACATGAGTCTGCCTTTTGTCGCGTCATAGACATGCGTTTTATGTTTCTGTTTATGATCATTTTTTCAATGTGTAACATATACAAACTTGTTTTAATAAAATTTTGAACTTTGTGCAGGTCAAATTTTGTATATTTTCTGTAATTTTGTTGCACAGCTGTGTTCCGGTCAGAAGGGTACAGGGAATCAGTATAACCACACTGTGAGCCGTTTCGTATGTCTTAGTCCTCGAAGGTGACGACGCTTCTATAGCATTCTCTGTTTGACGTTGTGGCTGCAGCTGTTCATGGGTTGTAGCTATTTACTGTTAACTGGACCGTAAGACCCATAGTCACTTCATTTTTATAAAAAAATATTATTGGCAAAAATTGTATCTTCTATCAACAGGGCTGACTCTCCTTCTACCGTACATCCTGTCGATACGTCGTGCGTGGTCTTCCTGTCCTCTGAGGGTGTTCACTCTCGCCAACAAGACTACAGAACTTGAAATAGAAGAGAGGAAGTAAGTGACACTTCTGTACATCTCTCACATGTAATTCAAACTGATCTATTTAATAGTTTTTAATCGACTTACAATAAAGAGGAGGTTCTGTATTTAACGAATACGTTTTTATGACCACGTTTTGTATTGATAAATCTGGCGTTACTTGCACTAATCCCATCGCTCATTAATCATTGTCTACCCACTACTCCCAACATCACTACTCCTGGCACTACTACTCCCAATACCACTATTCCAGAAAAGACACACCATCGACGACAATACGACACGTGTTTCGCCTCTACACGAGGCATCTTCAGGTGGTCTTCAATCCAGGTAAGACACATCATTGTATTTAATTGAGCGGATAGTAGTAGAGGCACGTGGTAGAGCCACGCGGCAGCTTTGCTGTTGCACGTATGGGCCGGCTAAAACCGGGGTGGTACCACGACCTCACAGAATACCGGCGTGAAGTGGAAGCTCTGCTTCCGCGTTTCGTCTGGTGAGTGCAGGTGGCCGGAGGCCTAAACCCCCCCCCCCATCAACATGGTAGCGGAATTAAATAATGATAGACTACCCCAGGAGGGTACCAGCACCCCTGGAGAATCCCTCGCTGAGCATCCACGACCATGTTTCTCCACTTCTGAGCGTGGGTGCTCAGGCTGTCCCGCGTATTCTGGGGGGGGGGGGGGAAGCAAAATTCCGCTCAAGACTACAACTGCTCGGGGCAAACGGAGCAGCAAGACCAAGGCGACCCCTGCCACGCTGTCCGTGAATTTCTGCAATATCAGGGGACTTCACTCTAACCTAAACGCCGTCCACTACCATCTCGAGACGGCGAGGCCGGCTCTGCTCTTTCTGACCGAGACGCAGGTGTCCTCTCCGGCTGATGTCTCGTGTCTCTCCTATCCGGGGTACAAACTGGAACACTCCTTTGTGCCTCGGGCAGGAGTTTGCGTTTACGTCAGAGAGGACATCTGTTCTCGACGCCTCGGCAGACTTGAAGGTTCGAACCTGTCCATCCTTTGGCTACGCGTAGACAGCGATGACATCCGCGCGTCTACGGGTGCCTCTATAGGTCCCATAGCGGTAATGCCGAAACAGACCGACTCTTCGACCACGTCCAAATGGCTACAGATTCGTTGCTACTACAGCAGATCCCCTCCGCAGAGATCGTGATCCTCGGCGACTTTAACGCCCATCACGCCAAATGGCTTGGTTCACGTTTAACCGATCTCGCGGGGAGATCTGTTCATTATTTTGCCTTGGCATATGGTCTGACACAACTGGTTACTTCGCCTACGCGGATTCCAGATGTGAAGGATCATGCACCGTCCCTGTTGGACCTTCTGCTGACCTCTCACCCGGACGGATATCAGATTTCCGTCGAAGCCCCTTTAGGCTCACGCTGAAATCGCAGTTGCATTCTGCAGGCTGCCGCCGTGTTTGGCACTATAGGTCAGCCGATTGGGATGGGATGCGGTCTTTATTTGCATCCTACCCTTGGGGGGCGGGTTTGCTTCTCGCCGGACGATCCCAACGTTGTTGCTAATTCTGTCGCTGATGTGGTACTTCAGGGTATGAAACATTTTATTCCTTCCTCTGTGGTGCCCATTGGAGGCAAATCTCAGCCATGGTTTGGTCGCTCCTGTAAAATAGCATCATGCTATAGGCAGGAGTGCTACCGAGCCTGGGCTGACGCATCAGCGTCCTGGGATGTAAACACCAGCGCTATAAAAAAAAGTATAATTCCGCCTCTAGGTCCTTCAAAAGAGTCATTGCCAAGGAAGTCAGAGCACATAGGCAGAATAGGCGAGAAACTAGTTCGCCTTCCTTCTGGAACCCGTGCATTCTGGTCTCTCGCCAAGGCTGTCCAGGGGAATTTCTGTCAGCCATCTCTTCCATCTCTGCACAGGGAGGACGACTTACTGGCCCATACCGCAAAGGAGGATTCTAGGCTCTTTCTTTGCGTCCAACTCGACTCTCGATGACGGGGTGAGTACGCCGTCGACCATCCCGCGGTGTGAGTGCTCCATGCCGGAAGTGCAGTTCACACAGCGCTCGGTTTCGCAAAGCACTCCTCTTCCTGGACATGTAGTCGAGTGGGCCTGACGGAATCCCCCCAATTGTGCTGAGGACGTGTGCTCCAGAGTTGGCACCGGTTTTAACGCGTCTTTTCCGGTACTCCTACTCCCTAGGCGTAGTCCCAAAATCATGGAAGACGGCTTTCGTCCACCCGATCCCAGAAAAAGGCGACCGTTCAGACCCGTCCAACTACCGGCCTATCGCCATTACCTCCTTGTTCTCCAAAATAATGGAGTCTATTGTAAACTGCCAGCTCATGAGGTACCTTGAGGATCACCAGCTGATTAGTGACCGCCAATACGGTTTTCGCCGTGGTCGGTCAGCTGGTGATCTTCTGGTCTACCTAACTCACAGATGGGCGGAGGCAGTAGAGTCCAAGGGGGAGGTATTGGCCGTTAGTTTGGACATTGCGAAGCCCTTCGATCGGGTTTGGCACAAAGCGCTTCTTTCGAAGCTCCCTTCCTATGGGCTTCCCGAGAAATTGTGCGATTGGATCACCAGCTTTCTTGCAGGTCGGGGCATCAAGGTCGTTGTAGACGGTGCAAGCTCCGATTGCAAGCCTATTAATGCTGGTGTTCCACAAGGCTGCGTGCTATCGCGAACGCTGTTTCTTCTGCATATCAATGATATGTTGCAAACCCGTAACATTCATTGCTATGCAGATGACAGCACTGGTGATGCTCTTTACACCGGCCGAGCCAATATTTCTCGGGAAAACGTCTCCGAGTGCCGGGACAAACTTGTGTCTGAAGTCGAGTCTTTGCTGAACAGTCTCGGATTGGGGGCGACTAAATCTAGTCCAGTTTAACCCCCAGAAGACAAGTTTGCGCGTTAACCGCTAAAAAGAACCCCTTTGTCGTATCTCCTCAGTTTCAAGGCACTCCCCTTGTTGCCTCAGCCAGTATTGGAATCCTCTGCGTTGACATATCGAGTGACGTACAGTTTCGTGGTCACTTGAAAGAGAAGGCCAAAATTGGCCTCTAAAAAGCTTGGCGTGCTCAGCAGAGCGGGACAGTATTTCATACCGGCACACCGCCTGCGACTTTACAAGGCGCAGGTTCGGTTGCACATGGAACACTGTTCCCATCTCTGGGCCTGGGCTCCCCAGTACCAGCTCCTTCTACTTGACCGCATCCAGCGCAGAGCGGCTCGAATCGTCGACGACCGAGTGCTTTCCGATCGGCTCGATTCACTGGCACTGCGAAGAGATGTTGCATCTCTTTGCATTTTATTTCGCATATACCATGGAGAGTGCTCTGAGGAATTGTTCGGATTAATCCCAGCCGCCAAATTTCGTGAACGCACTACGCGGCAAATGTCCCGATACCATCCACACCATCTGGATGCTTGGCGGTCCACCACAGTACGTTTCAAAAGGAGTTTTCTTCCGCGTACAACCTTTCTGTGAAATAGTTTACCACCGGCGATTTTTCCGGACCGATACTACCTGGGGACCTTCAAGAAAAGAGCTTACTCCTTTCTAAAGGGCCGGCAACGCACCTGCAATTCCCCTGGTGTTGCGGTTGATCATGGGCGGCGGTAGTCACTTAACATCAGGTGAGCCGCATGCTCGTTTGCTCCCTCTTCTATAAAAAAGTTGCGAATTAATTATTAATATCTTTATGGAATTTAGTTATTGATATTTACGTACATATAATATAAACTAACTTCCCGATGAGCGAGAGACTTTTGAGAAATTTTGAACATAGCTTAAAATCTGATGACAATGTAATAATATGGAAAAAAATTGTATATTAAAAAAAAACTATTTTTTTGAAATTTCACTTGATTCATGTATGTTCACCGATTTCTCGGAGACGGCTAGATCTATCTAATAGGTTCTTTTATATTGTATTGTTAGGAATTTACCTCAAAATTACTTAAAGTAAATAAATATTATCCGATAACAAACTTTCTTTACTATTAAAAATTATTCTCGAGGTAAATTGTTAAAAATAATAAATGTGTGAAAGCGAATGTTCTACTGGCTCTCTTGTTTACGCTATTAATCATTATCAGAATTAAGACAGCGTACTGCACTACATATTCAGTGTATAGAGCACATACAGTTCCACCAACCGTAATACGAGTATGTCCCCACCACAATCACATACTGGTGTAACGCGAAGGATATAATTACATGATAACACATAACTCCAGTCCATATGCAGAAGAAACAGCAACGCGATTACATGCAAACACATGCATGCAGCCTCTGAGCAACACGATCTTTCTTGCTAACACTAGTAGAATAGCCCAACGTGCATAGTAACGACATTGAGACTCGTAGAATCACCGACTGATTACCCTTAGTCGCACGCGCGATACTTTACGTATAAAGTATCCGTAGCAAGAACGAGTGGGAGATTATATTTTTACATTCATTTGTTCGTGTTTTCTTTTATTATTTACCCTCATTCCCAACAGTATAGTTTGTAGACGCTGCTCCCCGTTGCTGGTCTGCGTATTTTACGTCTAATGTAAACAAGATGGTTATATCGCCATCTATCGGATTCTACAAGATTCTTCTAACATTTTCAAAAGCCGTCTCTTGCGATAGTCACGGGATGGGAAGAGATGGAAGATTCTCTTACGTTGTTACAAAATAGTATGGCTGGCAACTTATAAGTGGCAGGCAGCTTTGTCGGAAGCTTGGCCGTCGGCGGATTGCTGCTCCTACATTATTGCTTAAATAATAGTTTCAAGTGTAGCTTATGAATTGTAAGTACTTTGAGATACTATGGACATCAACTGTCTACTCATTCCTTATATTTGCGCGAACACTACACATTCGAGCACTTTACAGCACCTGTAATCATTGGGAGGGGGGGGTACAGAGGTGTTAAAATTATCGATTTTGTTCTGAGCTGCATATATAAAAAATATACGCGATAAAATCCAGAAAAACTAGTTTTATTTAACTGTCTGCTGGTTCAAGCTGCCCTCAGTATCTCCCAAAAATTCTTATTATGAAGAAGTGTATTCTAAAGGATAATTTCTTATTACATACTTGATACTGACTAAAGTACAATCGTACGGGTCAATTATCAAAGAAAGAAAGGCAAGTGACTGCCCCGGTTATGAATATTGACTGTCCCTAACTCTTGCACATTTTTTCAGTATGGCGTCACTTCTATCCAAGTTCCGAATAGACTACTCGGCTCTGAAGATGGTCGCTGACGTAAACAAGAAGCCACGTGACTCCACACTGGCATACTTCGACAAACTCATCGCGCCCTTCAAGACCACCGATGACAACGCGGACAACAGTGAGTGTTTTATTTAAAATCCAACCTAAAGTGAAGTCTCTCTTACTGTTGGACTGGAGGCCCTAGTCCGACAGTGCATTTTGATGATGAAGAAAAAGATGCATGTAATTTGTTTAGACGATTCGTTAGTGTAGTAGCCAAATGACACAACACATATTAAGGCGCTATAATACATATTAAGTATTTTCAGCTTACAAATATTTATTCCGTAGTGCATGAATTGCCTTTAAACATCAGATGGACTCTCAGGTAAACTCGAGACTCGAGATTCTCTCTTAATACCAGCTTAAGCTTTTCTGGTCTGAAAGCTTGCTAAACTGTAGACCAGTTTTACAGATTTTATCGCGTTTTATTAAATTATTTTATATTCCCGACGTTTCGAGTACTTTACACCACCCATGATCACGGGCACTGAGGTGTTAGACGTAAAAATGTCATAGTTGACCACGGCGACTTTTAGTTAAAATTATTAATGTTTGGTACGTTCTACGCAGAGAGATGTTATGGTATTATGCAGCCTTGCAGTAGTATGCTATATATATAAACTAATATGCGGTGATTCTGTTCTGCTGCAAAACCATCACAGTAATGATAGGTGGCCTTTGCCCGGCTGTTAAACATGATAATGTATTGTTTAATATTTAATATATGTATATGTGTTGTATGTATTAATCATAAAATGTTATAATAAAAATATTCTAGAATTTGTAAACATGTAATAAAAATGTCTTATTTCTTCACACTTAGAATATTTGTTAATGAAAATATTAAAATGTTGGAACGTAATATCTTTAGAGATTTTAGGTTCGACAATAAAACGTAGCAGGACGACAGGATAAATAATAGCACGCATGACTCTTAACACGGTGGTTTCCTGACATCAAAAATAATATGCTAACTGTGATAAAATATTTCTCTTTGGCACAAATTCTGAAATCAATTTTAAGATAACTTCAAAATAAAAACTAAGCAAAGTGACTGTGACACCACAAGTCAATTAAAATGAAAATCACCGTGTTTTGTTTTGGAAGAAAGACATTCAAATTTCGTTTACGAGATATGAGAAAGATAATATTGTGCGTTGAACGTATTGGAAGAAAGACAATAAATTTCTTTACTCTTTGAACGTATTGGAAGAAAGACAATAATTATGTTGAACATATTGGAGAAGAAAACTGGGAAGAAACGCGGGGAGCAAATTTCTTTACTCTTTGAACGTATTGGAAGAAGGACAATCAAATATCGTTACTCGTTGAGCATATTGGAAGAAAGACAATCAAATATCGTTACTCGTTGAACGTATTGGAAGAAAGACAATCAAATTTCTTTACTCTTTGAACGTATTGGAAGAAAGACAATCAAATATCGTTACTCGTTGAACATATTGGAAGAAAGACAATCAAAAATACATAAATTTGATTAAGATCAGACCATTAGTTTTTGAGTTATCTTTTAATAATATTGATTGAGCTGCTTGATTATTTGAAAACCGCTCTACCAACTGCTCCCTATTGTCCTCTTCTGAACAAATTTTGAAAGATACTGATTACATAGAATAAATAATAGTACTACGTACAGAAGTTGCACTCCTTTGATGTCGACTGCTTACCGACGTTTAATAGCCTACATAATTATTATTAATCAGATAAATCGCACACGCAAGCTAAATAAAACTTTATCGCTGCGCGCTAGTGTCCATATTACTTTGCATCTTTTTTGTCACGGCGGACTTTCCGTGGTTATTAAGGGATGTCAATAGAAAGTAAAAAAATACATTGCGAAATGTTAATTATGTTACTTATGTGAGGTACTAACTAATATTCTGACTATGATTGACTAATCATACTTTCGCCCATATGTGAGTTCTGCGTCATTCGTCGGGAATCGTAACGCTTGGGAGAAATAGGTAGTTAGTGTAAACAACAAATAAACCTGAAATACGATTTCTAACAGAAATGTGATCTATTCTACTTAGTTAAAAATCTTGTTAGTATACAAAGTTTTAATTTCAGTATTTTGTGTTATTATAACTCAAAATATTTTAATTACAAAAGAGAAGTATAGGTATGTAAGTAAATACTTGGATAGTGAAGTAAATTTTATCTAATTTTTGTAATGAAGTACTTAGGTATTTCTTCTGTAGACCAAATTATTACTTAATTCTTTTTTTGCTGTGAGTACCTAACAAAAAAATTAAATAAATTCACCTTTCATAACTTCCTTCTAAAATTCTTCGGTAACTTAAAGAATGATATGAAACCTTTCATTTAGTATCCATCTAAGCAACAGTTATAGTAGGAACGACGTTTTGCTATTAATTTATCAAATAGGTAATATACATATTATATAATTTTTAAAATACATTAAAACTTTTACAACTATTTTTACCTACAATTAAATATACTAAACACTAAACAAAAACTATTTCAACAACTATTTACATAAAACTATTTACGTAAACATCGTTAAAAAACTTTAACATTTAATCTTCCCAACGCGCTAGCCCTAACTGCGTAATTTCGCCCGGGCGCGTCGCGATTGTAGGTAATTATTTCACATAGGTAGCAAGAGTGATAGAGGCCTGCTGATTATGAGTCCACAACCATATCGATTACTTGAACAGTGATTGAACTTGAAATTTGTTTCAATTTACTTGCAGTACCACTGCCGCCGCTTTTCTCTTCACTCCTTGCAGGTAGTTGCCGTACTACGATGCGTTGACGCAGGGCGAAGTATCGTTCTATAAAATGTCCATTGCGGTGTCTAAAATAGAATAATAATGCTTGCTTTTTATTGAAGTTCAACAAGCAATGAAAATAAAATGTTTCGTAGGAACTACATTAAAATAAATCATTGTAGTTTTCCAAGAACTTGAGTGAATTGTTTTTTTGACTTTGGTTTTATTATGATTTAAAAACTTATTATTTTACTCATTATTAATAAGAAATTCCTTTAGAACAAAAGTGACATACGATCATATAGTTTACCTGATGGTAAGTGGATGCTGTGGCCCACGGACATCTACATTTATCCTCGATTACGAATCAAAACACAGATGCGTTGTCACCTCTGAGGACTGAGATGGATTGTCTCGTTTCCAGTAAAAAGGGTTTCCGGATTTCTACACTCACCATACGAAACACAGCACTATTAAGCTGCTATTTTACGCTGGTATTCTGTGAGAGTGTGGTCCTTCCCTGGTTGAGCTGACCTATTCGTGCTACAACCAATATATATTAAAACTTATATATTATTGCAGCGGGCATCACGGAGGCGGACCTGCTGGCGGCCCGGGAGCGCACGCACCGGCACCTGCGGCTGCGCGAGCTGATCGGCGCGCAGTCGGCGGGCGCGCGGCTGGTGTGCGTGACGCAGCCCATGCCGCGGCGGCGCGCCGTGGTGCCGCCCGCGCTCTACGTGGCCTGGCTGGCCGCGCTCGCCTCCGCCGCCGAGCGCGTGCTGCTCGTGCGCGGCAACCACGCCGCCGTACTCACCTTCTACTCGTAATCTCTCATCATCCCACCGTCCATCGCGACTGTCCACTGGAATAACCTGGTAACTCACATTTTTATTAAATAACAATATTTTTTTAAATTTTATGCAACTGTCCAGTATCAAAACCCGGTAAGTAACTCTTTTAACTTCACAACTTACACCGCACGTGTAGTAACATACTATACGCGACTGCGGTTATCCATCGGGAGAACCTGGTAAGTAGCAATTTTATTGAATTTACATCTCACCTCTCAATGCCTCAACTATCCAATGCTATAATCTAGTAGTGACATTATTAAAGTAATGAAAATTAACAGCAAATAAAAGTGAACCGTAACGCTTGGGTCCGTAACACTAAATCGTGGTAATCATAATCTCATACCTGTTATCACAACTGTCTACTGGTATATCCTGGTAAGTCACATTTTTTAAAACTTAGCCTCCGCTTTTTTCGGAAAAAGTTTTAGAACAAGGAATTGTCCGCCGCGCTGCCCCAATACATGTTGGCGAACTTCACGTGTCTTCAAGATATTCTTCTTCCTTATTTTCTCAGACGTACATGTTTTGTCACGATGTTGTCCTTCACCGCTGAGCACGTGGTAAATCAGCACTTAAATTGCAATACTTTACAACTCACACCGCGGCTCAATATAACTAAAATACCATGCGCGCAACCAAGCCACGTCGTGCTTACTCTCTACTCGTAGTGCCACCACTCTCGATTACCCGGTAGCAGAACATGATAAATAACATACGTGACGCAGTCGATATCACAATACCGACCTCTACATAAGTTTACGACGGCACTCGTGATCGCCACAAAGCATAATATGCTGCTCGGGCACAAGAATCATGCCATAGTACCCCTTTCTACTCGTAAATGGCATTATTTTTTTCGTTTCATACCTCGCACCGCGACTCTCCCCCGTAAGATAATAGTAAGTAACCACACCACAATGCTCACATTTTATTCGTAGTCGTAATCTCACCACTAGCACCGCGGTTGTCCATTAGTAAGTAAAGCAAAACCTAGTAAGTAGCTATTTTATTGAATTTACATATCACCTCTCAAATACCTCAAGTGTTCAGTGCCAAACTCTAATAGTTGCATTATTGAAATAATTAAAATTTACAGTAAACAAAAGCGAACCGTCACGGTTGGATCGGTGACACTATATCGTGATTACTCGACTACACTCGGCATCAAGCATGCTCTGATCAGTGACACCCTCAATGGTGCACATTCAAAAAATTACGTTTTTATTATTAAATAAATGTTCACTTATATCATGTGATCATATTAAATGATTTTACATCGTAGAGCCATGCTGCAGTTATATTAGTAGTATAGTTGTAGCATGTTGTAGCATGTCGGCTCGACCGAGGAAGGACCATATAATAAAGGAATACCAGCGTCAAATAATAGCTTAATGCTGCTGTGTATCGTATGGTAAGTGTAGAGAATCGGAGACGCTTTTTACTGGAAACGAGTTATTCCACCTAAGTCCTCACGGGTGACAACGCATCTGCATTTTGATTCGTAATCGAGGATAAATGTAGATGTCTATATATATATATATATATATATATATATATATATATATATATATATATATATATATATATATATATAATAGATCGAGGATAAATGTAGATGTCTATGGGCCGCAGCAACCACTTACCATCAGGTGGACTGTGCGTTCGTTTGTCATCCTATCCTATAAAAAAATGGTCTGTGGTCAATTTACACCTCGCACCCCGGCAAAACGCATGCTACTATGATATATAATTTTGAAATACCATTTTTCTTTATGTTTTCGTCATTAATTTGTTAAATTTGTACAGGTAAAGCTTCGAGTCCAACTTACACAAGACATCTGAAACCCGCGGCCTGTCTACCCACAACCAATGCCAGTACATATGGGTTTCTAAATTGAAAAATTTAATAAGCTTTGAAATCATCGCTCTCTTTCCGAAATGTTGTATCAATATTTTCAGAAGATAGTTTCATTTTCAAGAGTTGTATAAAATATTTTTTTTAGGACTTTAATGTTTTTGAAAAAAAATTGTTTTTTTAAAAAACATGATCTTTTTATAAAATTATTAGTGTGACTTAGTAACGACTATAACATGTTGTTATATGTAAACAGATTTAATTAGGTGTACTGGATATCTATCAATATTAAAATCCTCAAACAAACACTCCTCGCATAGGATAAGTGTATAACTTAATGTTTAAAATGAAAAATTTGATTATACAGTGACAATTTTCTGTCAAGACTTGTTGACAATTTTATAATGATTGCAAACCGAAATAAAAAAATGATTTCTTACATTTTCGTGATATACATCTTGTTGGTTAGTAGGGATTTTATCGCATTTAACTTATTTTCTGTCTCTTTCTCGTTCTCTTTTCAAAACGATCGACAAAGCATTTGCAATGAGGGCTAATAATCTATCGGACACTAGATGGCGCTAGTTAACTGAGAAGTTGCGTCTAAAATAAAAGTTTATCAGTTTCTAGAGTATTATATTAATACACAAAACACAAAAAATGCCTCTGTGGTTTGTTCTTTAAATTTTTTTGCACATTTTTTAACTCTTCTCAATTTTTCTATTCTGAATATATTATTTTTATGAATTTCTGTAGTTTGGTTTATTCATTTTTAATATAACTAATAGTGCAGAAAGAAACATTAATCTTTTCATTTTTCGAACAAACAAGTTCCGCGCTATGAAATCTGTCAAATATTACATCTCATTTTTAAGCAGTGCCGCCCTGGTGGCTGAAAAAGTGGTGAATGCCCTCAATCCTCTGGTGTTACAGTTGTTCATATGCGGCCGTAGTCACTTACCATGGGGTGAATCGAATGCTCGTTTATCTTTAAAAATAATATTTAGAAAATCTCCCCGTGATCTTGAATGCTCCATTATCAACAAGCATCGAGAGAAAGTGAAAATTAAATGCAATAAAATCCGTAAACTTAGTTCAATTCAACGAAATAAAGATTTAAAATATGCATAGCATTGAGCCATTCTAATTTTGAGTGCTCTCTGTTGCAATTTACACTTAGATGACTGTCGATGTTCGATATAAAGTGTTTAGTACACTATTGTAAATTCCTATTCTCGAATATTATTGAATACAATGAAAATTAAGTGCCTCATTTTGTACTAAAATTATTTTAAATTAACATTTTATATGAATTTTAAGGTTTTTATACGATCAATATTACGCCACTTTTTAAACAACTTCAAGGAGAATTTTATTGAGAAGTACGTATGGTATAGTTTTAATGTATATCTATTAATATTATATAAAAAAGTCTCAATTATAAGATAACTTAAATCTGACAATTTTTGTGTTCATGAAATTAGAAAACCTAAATTGATAATATTTTTGTACATTATATTACACCTTTAAAAAAAGGTACGTAGGGTCTTAAATTACGACGGTTTATTAAAATTATGTAACGCAATATCTCCTAGGTTGGTTTTATATAGAACATTAAAATACTATAAGAAAGAAAAACTAAAAACTTAAATCATTCAGTCACTTCATACTATGTTATGAACATATAATAAAAGTACATGAACATTTCGAGTATTATGAACAAGGGTGTGCAGTACGTGTGTTTCTTTTTGAAATCAATTAGATCTTAGTCTATATAGACATAATAAATATTTCCTTAAATTATTATTTTAGGAACTCTTTAATAAGATTCAAAATTATTCAGAATGGTGACTAGTAACGATAATGATAAATAATACCAGTGATTTGGTCAGTACGTATACGTGTATTTTTATAAGTGACATTTTAACATTTACAATTATCATGTAAGCGTTTACTAAATTTTTATTGAATTTTGTAAAAGTTTACTTTTTACAAATTGATCGAATCTTACATCTTTTGTGTGACTGAGTGTTTGTGAATTTGTATATTTTGGTTCATCTAATATGTGTATACAGTTAGTATAGTCGTGTGCATTAGTGCAGTGATGTGAATTAAATTGATACGTAATAAATTATGTATATTCGACAACTGTTTGAACGATCTGAATCTTATTTTCATTTCTAATATTTATATTCATGCACTATTCTTATATTTCCTATCTCTCTTATGCTTATGCTGTATGTTGTTTTAACATGGCTACAAATTGTAACTAAACTAGCTGTTGTATAATCTTGTTGTATAATTTTGCTGACTGTACCTGATGTAATCAACCAGAATCTACGTGTTATTTATTATTTCTATGTATTTTTGTTAGTGTGCAAGTTTTGTATGCGATGTGTCTGAGTCTCAAGACAATTAAAAATATGTAATTTAATGAAATAAACATTTTTGACGAAATGTAAAGTTTTATTCTCCCATTGACGAAATGTAATTATTATTTTTGTTAAATTTATTCTATCATTACTAATAACCGTATTAAAAATAGCTTCAAATTGACAGTAATATCAAATGGAAACTGTCGACAGGTTAATCAAATTTAAGTGAAAGGGTTAATGCTCAGAGTAATTGCTAGCGTAGAGTCCTAAAATAGGAACAAATTCTTATAGCTGAACTCTTTATACATATGTCGTTTAACATAGTTCAAAATAAGATATCTATATTATTCTCACCGTAGACAGAGAAACCTATAGACTAATAATTAGCGTGGCCTCGAATGAGAAAGGACGAAAATGTAATTTTAGGTTATACAATAATCTTTATGACTTTTAAACATATTTAGATTTTATACCTTTTAATTGTTCTAAGAACTGAACTGTACAAGAATCACCAATCTTAAACTCACAAAACACTTTTTTTCTCACTTAAACCAACTTGTAAGCTCCTTAGATCGCTACGATCTGTCAAAGTTGTTTAGCAAAATGTAGTTTGCTAAACAAAAAACCGGCACTGAGAAAGGGACAAACAATCACACCGCTCTGTCTCACTTCTATGCAAGACGTATGCATACATCTATATTTTTTGTGTGCGAATACGAAAGAATTCGTCAGTTCGTCTATAG